ACATTAAACATACAGCACATCAAATCTTTCTGTGAACAAGTCTCTTTGTGATGTATGTTCAATACGATGTGTGTAGTGGAATTTTTATATCTTCACAGCCAAACTGGTAGATTTATTTTATTAGCCTTTTTTAAACCCAAAGCTCACACTGTGTGGGCTAAATGAACACATAGTACACACTAGCACATTTCTAGTACTTTATATTAGCCAAAGATGCAATATAAATAAAATTTTACATGGGCCTAAATGACATTTTCAATTCTTAACAAAAAATCAGTTGCATATTTAAATATCATAAATCAAATAAAATGCTATATTCAAAGTAAGAGGTAACTGACTATTTAGCATTTTTATATATATTTTCTATAAATTATATCTATTTATTAGAAGTACAATTATGTTACCATATATATATATATATATATATATATATATATATATATATATATATATATATATGTGTGTGTGTGTGTGTGTGTGTGTAGCAGCACAATTAAAATACAGCGTCAATGCACTTACCTGCCTCTTGTCATTTATGTTATAAAACTGCATTACAGATTGACCAAAATGAAAATGCTATATTGGCTGAACGTATACCTAGCAATTTGGCAAAATAACATCTACAAATATCTTCATCAAATGCTTTTTTAAGATACTATTGTAAACTCTGAGGATCAGAGGTATGTACGAGCACCCACAGCATGACCAAAGCATTCTATTTATTAAGACTGCAGCTTATCACTTAAACTGAGCACAGCCCTGCCCTCTAACTGGAGCCTAGGGTTGAAAAGACACAGTGGAGCCATCAAAAAGCTTGAGACAAAACAGAAAATAAAAGGTCAGTGATGAAGACACAGCAGTGTTAATGAATGAAGCTAGTTACTGTACTCCGGCTAAGAAAACAAGGACTACGTGCACATATTGCAGCTGTATCCCAGCATACTTTGTGTCGTGTCTTCTAATGCACCATACATCTGATTTTGAGCATTTAAACAGTGTTTTTATAATGATAAACATTCTTTCAGCATGTGTTTGAATCTCTGCTGCTACTGTTAAAGCAAGTCTCTAAACTCTAAACATGACCGTAATACAAAGTTTTAAAAGACAGAGGAGAGTGGACGTGAAACTGGCTGCCACCAGTTGCTTTATCTTTAGCAAATCAAGAGGAATATGTAATCAGCCACATTTGTAATATTTGCACCCACACTTTGCACAATAATTTGAATTTGAGTTTTGCAATTTACCATGCACACAGTCCATAAACTGCACATTTAGGCTTGTACTCCAGTTTTGCACTTAACATGTGGACAGAATGCATCCAATTTACGCTTGTAACTGGCACAAACGCTTAGTACATCAGACCCTGAGGGAAAACAAACATGTTGACCAAAAAACATTACTTGAATAAATAGGATGAGTCAGAGTTGACAAGATGTAGTGCAAATCATTTTCATTTGAACATTTGTCAAATATGTACACTTGTGGCTGATCATCTTGCATGCATAGCTGGAAAGCAGCGCTGTGTTATGTGGGACATGATGACGTGAGTTCAGAGAGTTTGGTGTATTTTTGGAGGATGTTGCGTAATGTTGTAAGAGATGTTGATAAAGGAGGGCTTAAGTTTGACTGGAAAGAAAGTGGAAGTCATTGTGCTTTGACTAATGCATTCCCCAAGCTTTCTCTAGAGGGCCAAAGATTCATCATTCATCCAGACTTGTATATAGTAACTCACGTCTGGAAGGCTGAGTAATGTACTTCAAAATTAGCCAGGTTCAGACCACCTAATTCCTTAGGCCTCACTGAGGTAGACTGTGAGGACTGGAGCACTTTAAAATAATCTGAATGAGGGCCTGAAAGGAATCACACAAACAAAACATCACGGAGTGAAAGATGAATGATTTAAAGACTGATGTTCTACTGAGCGAGGGCAAGCCATAGATACGAGTCTCACTAAATCTGTTCCGTCACAACCTAATATTTGCATATTTGCACAGAGTAATCTGAGGGATTTTGAAAGGAATTAGAGATATCAAAGTGAAAAAATAAGCACATAAAGTGACTGGATGACTCCTTAATTGTTACAGGTTTCATGTTGCCAAACTCTATTTTGTTCTCTATCCCAAAATTAACAGTGCAGACCTACAAGGGTCAATGGAGTACAGTTAATATTAATATGAGGACATATTTTAATAAGGGATGAGACAACTCTTTGCAAAACCAGTCAAGAGAAACTGTAATAAAGAAGACTGAACATATTTTTGGCATCACTGTCCTTGCTTATTTTCTGTCTTATCATGAACATGTACATGCAAATTTCTGTGGCGAATCCCCATTTCATCTCCATAGATGAGTAGGGGTGATTGAATACTTGTGGACATTGTGTATTATTGTGTATGGAAATTGTGTATTTCACAATTAATTAAGAAATTTTCAATAGCAAAGATTAAAGTTCAGGGACAGTTATCACGCCAAATAGCACTATTTTGTTTTAATTTCTGCAAAATTAAATCATTAAGATGCAAACAAATTCATTCATAGTCAGAATTTTCCACCATGGTGGTGATAGGAACCATACGTCTGAAGAGATTAATGCCTCTCAGCTCCCTCACAGAAATTATTGCATGGAATGGTTACAAAAACATTGTTTGATGCCTGAGACATTTTTATGATAGTTTTAAGGTAAGAGTTTGGCCTAAAAATGACTTTTTAAAAGCTATTCACGGCACTGAGGTACTCACTGGGTGCTGTGAAGCAAAGAAGTATCCGAAGAAAACTGTTTTTTTCAGATTCATCAGTATTTTACCATCATCAACATTAGCCTACATATGAAAACTCAGACACATTTAGATTCACTGCTCATTTGCATTGTAGATGCTGCAACCCCTGGTTCCTATCACTCTAAAGAAATCTGAGTTGGTAAGTTTCATCAAACCACTTTGAATGACCTTGTTTAAATAAATATTCAAAAAATGGTGGAATTCCCATCTAACTGGAATGCATCTTAGACAAAATTTTATTACCCTTAATAACCTGTAACTGCACTGATCCATTTTGTAAGCATTGTTTTATTTGCCTATTAAATGGTACTAAACTAAACAGTCATTTTCACAACATACAGCAATACTTGTGGCTCTTGCGCTTCCTCCATATCTAATTTTAATTTAAAATCATACAACGTGGCACCAATCAAACGCTCTGCCATCTCCTTAAGCTCACCCTCTGACAATGATATGACATTCAGCTCCATTCAATACATATATAAGTATATGAAATGTTTACTGAAAACAGGACATTTTGTTCTATGGAGACCTATCCACTGACAGGCTCTTAGAGAACCAAAAGTGGTTATTCCTATTTTTCCTATTATTTTTAAGAATATACTCTTTACTGGAAAAGTTGATACCATGATGATACTACAGAAGAAAACAGCAGTTACTAAAAACTACAAAGCAGGTGATGTCGTTTCTAGCAACATCTAGTGTCATGATAAAGACAACTATTCACAGTGCATCTGTCTGATGGATGGTGAAAGTTGGCTCACTTGAATAGAAGGTGGATATCCACCCTCTGATTTTAAAAGTATTTAAACTACCATAAGCTGCTGTGAAATGTAACTAGACAAATAGCTCAATTAATCTGCCCTGGAAGGCTCAGAATACATTTCTGTCCTAATCAGCATCTCATTCGACACCATGTAGCCTGCCTTCAGCAAACACAGCAGGCTGGTGATGTCCCAGCCTTTGGAAAATCTGGACCTGAATAGCTGAATAGTTTTGAGTTATTTGGAAGGAATACATTCAATCACAACATGCTTATTGTGGAGGAAAGTTTATTTTAACCTACACTTACAACCTAATCCATCTACTTCACTGAAACCAGACATAACAAGGAATGTCCAGGGATGGTGGAGTCAGTCATGGCGATGGGCCAGGGTTTGACTACTCTGTGTACAATGTCACTAGGGCTGTTATGATTCAGCAATTTAACTTGATTAAACAAAACACTGATTAAACTGTACCACTTTGATGAATCGGCATCTGATAATGCAGATTTTACGTTATCCTAGTAGTCGGACAGACAGTCTAACTTATATGCATTTTTAAAGTCTTTTGGATTTCCAAAAAAGTATTTGGAAGTATTTTTGTGAAAGGCTTTGCATGGTTTGTTATTGATTAGCCATTTGTAAAGTTTCACAGATTTTTTAAAAGCTCTGATTAATCAATTGACCCTTAATATAATCGCTATATTATTTAACTAGTAATTTAATCAATAGGAACGGCTCTAAAAACCCACATACATTGATATGTTCAAAACATCAATAGAGAATCACCATAAACAAAAGATGTTCGATCTAACTAAAGATATTCTTTCTAACTAAAGATACAGTTCTAGGATTAATTAACATAGAACTTATACAATAAAACTAATCATTATGACTGCCACAGTTTAGGTCATACACATATCATAGAGGTGATAGAGCACATTGAGGTATTACAAATACAAAATATTCAGTAAAAAATGACTGTAATTTCTGAGCTTGGTACATTATACACTGGGGTCGACCAATGTTCTGATTCTTATTCACCCCACTTTGTGGTCACTATGGAGAATGGAAAGTTCTATTTTTGCATGGATGTGGCCTTTCTGTGTTTTCTTTCCAGCTAAAGGTCATTATATTTTTCTATTTCCACACTGAGCTGTAAGACACAATCTGACAGCAAATTTACTCATCCCTACCCCGTCAGAAAGCTTGTGAGTATCTCTTTGGCCTTTAATTTAATAGTAAATGAAAACTTGAATCATTTGCTACTTTAGGGTTGACCTACATAAGCTATTTTTAACGAATTCAGAAAGAAAGGACACTAAAATGTGAATTCTGTACCTTTGTTCTTCATATTTTGTACTGTAGTGTATGCCAAACTAAATGAACAGCACTTTTAAACTACTGCTGGCATAAGCAGACGTGTTCAATGTCAACACAGTACATAAAACTTGCTTACCTGCACCATCTCAATGCCTCTCTTCCTGCAACACAGAAAAAGAGGAAAAATAGTCTTTGAAGGAATGTGGATTTTTTTTTTTGAATGATATGCGACAACATGTGACAATGTAAATGATGTGTGATCATGTGGCATCATGTGAATGTGATCACGTGACATCATGTTAATAATGTGATGTCTTACATTATGAAATTACACATGTGAAAAGTTTAAATGAATAACTAGAGAATTATGATGTGAGAAAATCACAAATGAAAAATGAAAATGTGCATCACATGTGAAAAGTAAATAACCTGTGAAGTGTCTAAAAACATATCTGATTAAGTATGAAATAGGAAAGTAAGTAACACATTAGCGTAAGTGGGTGAAATTCAGTTTGATGTATGTCTTTAACTGACTCACTGAGACACTATACCATAACAGGTATAACGCTTACTAACCTCTTAAACTCTAGGCTTTTATAATCTTATTAAGACTTATTATACAGTAATTACTATAAAATTTATATAAGCTTTGAGTTATGAAAGCAAGGAATATGTAGTGTTTAAAGAATGAATAACAGAGGAATTTGTTAATTTGTACATTTTAACAACATGATTGACAACAGAGTGCCTGTTTTGAACAGTAATGGAAAGAAAAGTGGGGAAATCCTCTTACTAGGGCAAACTAAAAAGAGCTTTTGTGAGTGAGGACCCCTCTCTGGCTGAGGACTGCTCTCTCACGCAAAAAAGGGCTGAAATTCTCCACATTCTCTCTATCACTGTTTCACACACACTCACAAACACAAGCCCACGCTAATGAACACTATACATGCGCAAATGTAAATGTTTTCTATATGCAACACTAGATTTTGTTCTTCTATGCTTTGATAAGTTGGAACATACAAATAAGCACCAGTAGGGCCACATTTGAAATCTTGCTATTGAGCACCATGCTTAAAAGCCCATAAATTCTGTAAACTAAACACTGATGACACAATTGCAGTGTGCCAAGTAAGATGACACAAATGCAGTGTGCCAAGTAAGAAAGAATGCCTGCCAATCAGGTTTACACAAATTCTCTTTACAAACCAGTTACCACTGTACATGTGTTGAGTGATTTCACTTTAAGTCTACTCCAAAACACCCCCCTTGTCTGCACGAATGCTCAAGTGTCATTTATGCACAAAAACACACGCTCTGTTCATGACATTTGAGCTTGTCGTACAAGTAAAACAGAACACGAACAGCTTTAAGGGACATTTCCTACACTCTACTACAAAGCTGGGCTGCCTGGACAGGACATTCTGTTTGAATCAATACAGTAACAAGTCACAAGAATGATCCTACAACAGACACTTAAGAATGTGCGGTGTCTTTAGAGATATGTGAGCAATGCAACTTCTAAGCCTTTTAAAAAACAGGGCTGCCAGCTTGGTGCTCACCCAGATAACCAGCGCACTTTGTCCACGCTCTGCCTTTTTATGGCCAAAACACCAATGACGACTATATTACTATCTCATTAAGAGTCCTGGAGAGCATCTTTGTAATTCAAACAAGGCTGAAGCACAGCTCCCTGATGCAATCTCTGCTATTGGAGCACACAATGTCTGTAAAGGGAGTCCCCTAGATAGGGACTGCCCAGATAATGATCTCCTGGCAAACACAAAGAACCGCCCGCTAGCACAACAGTACACTAAAAAAAGCAATGCATTGATTCAAATTTCCACAAAAATAAAATATATTACAGTAACATAATTACTACCAAAAGTAAGTGAACTGAAATTGTGTTGACATAATGTTTTATTCATGTAGAAATTATGCACATATTTGCATCAGTTGACTTCAGTACAGATACTGACTCACATTTAAGAGCATATATACCTACAGGGTGGGTCAAAAGATGTACACATGTTTTTGCCCATTTAAACTAAAATTTTGCTGTGCATTGTTTCATTCAAAGTATCTTTTTGCATTGAATAAAATTAAAGTGTTATAATAACTACATATGCGTATATTGTGTAAGCATATATTTATAAATATATGTCCTATCCTTGAAGAAAGATGGAAAAACTATAGGCTTACAGTCTCAAGACGGTAATGTTGTCTCCCCAAATTATGAATACAGAGACGGTGTAACTTGTTAAAATAAAACTAATTCAATTTAATTAAAGTTTCTACAATACAGTAGTGACACTATCGAACTTGTACTCCTGCTTTTAAAATCTTACCTGGTTATTTATTTCAGTTTTAAACATTCTCATTATGTAATCTTCATACTGATGAAATCAGTGGTGTAAGCTATTGTTAGGATGGGCCAACAACACATGCTTGTCTCTGATGAAGCACCCTGTTCTCACCTTTCCAGTCCTGTCTATCTGACCTGTTCCAGTAGTCTTATGGTGTAAACTACTCAAATTAAACCAAGGTGTAGAACTGTGCTGCCAATTAAATACTGTCTGAGAGCCTGGAGTAAATATTTAATTGCGATCTCTGAGAGAAGATAAGAACGCTTGCCGCCGAAGTGAAAGGTTCTGCTGCTGGACGCACCTGCACATGTCCACGAAGGTGTGGAAATTCAGCTTTTTGATTTTCTTCTCGCTGAGCCAGAATCCCACTCTTTTTCCTCTCCCAAACGTCTGCATCTCTGCAAATGGGGCTGGAAAACTGAGCACAACATTGCAAGAGTTACTGATTTAAAGGTGGGCGTTGACCTAAAGGAAGACTTCACACTAGCCATCATTCTCGGCAGAGTTTTTTCAAATCAATATAATTTTAACTCGTTCTGAAGTGCAAGTTCAAAGGTTTGGAATCACACTTTAAACATTTGGGAATACTGTTTTCAATAAAAAGTCTAAAAAATGTTGCAGATCAATGTATGAAATTATTATATTATGATAGTATTAACAGATTTTGACTATCTAGAAAGAAACTGTAAAAAAGAAAAAAATGCTAGATGTGCCCTGAAAGGTGAACAGAACTGTAGATGATTTCATAACGACTGAAAAAGCTGTAATAATGAGAATAAACTTATGATAACTTTAACATATATGATGCCTCACATCTCTCGCATCTCAGACAGACGACTCAAGAAATTACTGTAAATACATTTAAAAAACAGTATATTAACTTTTCAGTTTCAAAAAACTTGAAAATTTTAATTAAACATTATAATATCTTCTAGCATTTAGTTTATGGTAATACAACCTACACTGTTTAAATTATTACTGAATAAAATAATGATAAGTATTAATATGTCAAGGGAACTTTTAACCCGAGTGTATATTTGTGAGAAATCTATCATTTTTAGACAAACTTAGTTACTAATTAAATTAGTATTTAGAAGTAATTAATTTTTGTGTAGAATTTTATTATGGTATGTTGGTGACAACATCTGGACTGCTTTGAGACTGGTCACACCTCTGAACTTTTGAGGTTTATCATTTTATTTTAGACCAAAAACAGAAGAATAAAGTTTCAGTTCCTGTGCTGAGAGATGCTGGGTGCACTAAGAAGCTGTACTGCAGTTCTATCAGGTTGTTTTCTGAGCTGGTCACAGTTTGAGTACTGGTTTAGGCTTCTCTATTCACCTCTGATTCTTCTGATTACCACACTAATGTAATGTTAATACTAGTAGCTAATGATGAAAACATCCACGTGCTGTATTCAGTGCTGTAAAAGAAAAGCCGAGTGGAGGTCATGCAGTAGCTCCAGCCTACCTTACAAAAGCTGAGCCAGAATGCCGGTGCTGGTAAATATCTCCTGTATTTCTGGTCAGTCTGGTCACAGACTAAAGTACCGCCAACTGCAGATTGGTAAGCAGTAACGCAGCAGTAACACAGTCTCCGGACTCCTCTAGGCTAACTGTTTTCAGATGTTTTTCTCTGAAGGACTATCGCATTGTTTTAGCTGCCTCCTGCGCCAGAACAGACTCACATAATGAGCCGAAAGTCATGGTAAACCAGGTGATGCTGGTGTAGTAATCCTAAATGAAGGCAGTCCCTGCTCCTCTCAGCGAAACCATCTCCGCTCAGCGCTGCTTCAGCCACACAGTCTGTCAGCTGCCAGCGTACGGTGTACGGTGATGAGCTCTGATTGGTCACGAGGACCGAAGGCTCCTCCCCCTGGGCGGGGCTTTTTAAACAACATTGAGATATTTAAGCCTACAGACAGGCTTAAAATGAGTACAAAGATGACAGTTCAGAAAAATAAAAAACATGCAGGATAACCTGAGGATAAGAAGGAGTGGCAAGCTAGTGCTGGGTAATACTGATAAAATATAACATTACCATATTTTCAAAATAGATTAGATTAAACTTTATTGTCATTGTGCAGAGTACATGCACAGAGCCAATGAAATGGAGTTAGCATTGCAAAATACAATATTATTTACATGTAAAGTGCAGGAAAGTGACCATGGTAAGCGGTTCTGTGGTTACAATATGAACAATTACAGTGGAGTGGTAAAAAATATAGTTATATAAATACACTAAATATAAATAGAAAATACATATGCAGTGTCGATGGTATGTACTGTGAGAGCAGCATATGTAAAATGATAAGTATGCAGAGTAAAAACATGTACAGTGACTGTCTGTATACATCTCGGTATCACAATATCAGGCTAAATTTAAGCCTGCACTGACAAAGTTTATGAACCCATATTTTCTGAGTACTGCTACTCTGTGATAAAAGAATGTCTTACAAACCTGATGGAGCTTGCTTTTTTATCTGTTTGCACCACAAGGAACCTTTCAGAGTACTGTAAATGCTGACCACACAGAAAACAGATTTCTAGAAATTAACTTGCTATGTTGTTTAACTGTCAAAACTACAGACTATTTTACATTATCAATCAACTACATCACTTAATATATCTCTTAATCTGACAAGAAAAAACACATCACCCTGCACTACAGCAAGCCATGCCACATTATTTTCTTTAGTGTTTAATACCTAGACTGGTGTACTATTTTGAGTAGTACTATTGTGTGTATTTAGTATGGTAGTATGTGGTTTTAGAGACAGCCCTTGGACTAATTAGCAAATTGCAAACAGTATCGTACCATAATGAGCTTTAAATTAAGTGATAAACCATTGTTAGTATAAGTCTACCCTGCTGAAGAAAACTGGCTCAAGCTGGCTATGCTGGTAGACCAGTTTAGCGTGTTGACCAGCATAGGGTTTAATCTGTCTGGATACCCCGCTTATCAACTACCTACACTTTCAACGGCCAGCTTAGACCACCTTATAAACCAGCTGTCAGCTGGTCTTAGCTGGATTTTTCAGAAGGGTAGATTTAATCATCTGAGAAACTCAGGCCTAAAAGTTTAATATTTACATTTAGTCACTTAGCAGACACTCTTGTCCACTCTTAGCTGTGCTAGCGTGTCTGGTTTAACTACTCTGCTAGTAGTGGGCCATTACATCTGTCAAACTCTTTCTTGACAGTCTACTTCACATACACGTATGGTGTCCGGAACATCTATCCTGGACAAAACTGCGATGCCAATAGTGATTTGCCATTAAAATACATACTTTTTAGTTTAGATCAAACTTAGTCCAGGTCTGGAAGACTGGACCTGAGAATGTAATACCAGTTAGTGAATGCAGACCAACTGAAAGGCAGAACATGTCATATCTATTTCTTTAGTCTTAAACTGATAATCTGTTTATTTACAGATTAAGCTTAAGGATACATGAAAAAGGAAGCTTTCTCAGTCAAAACAGTGTCACTACTTTGACTGCAATGCAGTCCAAGACTAGTCTTAAACCATTAGTGGGAAGCTGGCCCTGAGAAAAGAAAATGTTCATTTTGGAGACTTCAGTGCTTAATGTATAACTCAGTACATAGTAATTTCATATATACGCCACAAAAAAATCTACTTACATATATATCCCCCCATTCAGCCTACAGCAGTTTAGCTGCAAAATGAAAGTGCAAGAAAAAAGCAGAATATAGGTCCTTTAAGTCACATTTTTTTTATTTTTTTTTGAAAGCTTAAGCCACATCAAAGCCTCTTGGATGCACCACTAGAGGGCGGTACTGCACACTGCGCTGTTATTAAAGTCACCAACAAGCTCTTGACTGGATCCCGGATATTTCCAGTCAAGTGAGTCATATGACAACAAACCGTAATCAGTTGTTGATCGACTCAACGTTTAAGACCTTCAAAATGGACCGACCATGAGCCCATAGTGAGTACCGCTTTCTGTAGACGTGGATTATCTTTGTCTTGTCTGGCTCGGTCTGTGTTCGCAGTGGTATCTGAAGAAGATCTTGAAGGTGTCTTTACTGGCTAACTGGCTACTGTTGAAGTTTCTCTGTCATATCGCTCTGAAAAACCGACGACAGATTGTTGTTAACATGTGTTGCAGGAATACCTTTGTCAAAAAATACTTCTATTTGCCACAACGTTGTATTTTTATTCCGAAAACCTCCAAGAATAGGACTGAAACACGAGGCTTCTTTCTTTCCTGTTGTCTCTCAAAAACGACGCATAAGGGGAACTCCAACGATTTTCCGAAATTTGTGATGATTAAATGGTTAACATTGGTAAACCACAGAGTCATTCAGAGTGGTTTGGTGTGAAATGCTTCGTTCTAGAGAAACTCAGAGAGTCAGAATTGTTCGCAGTAATGGTGATAGGAACCAGATGTTCATCTCTAAAAGCTCCCTCACAGAAAGTTATATTATGCCTTGGTTATGAATATACAGCCTGACGTCTGAGACATTGTTTAGCTGTATTTGTGTAATAAAGTTTTTGGTCTAAAATGTATTTAAATCCATTTAAGGTGGAGGGATACATGAAAGATGTTCTAAGTCAAAATAGTCCACAAAGAAAACTATATATATATATATATATATATATATATATATATGATGTGTTTGTGTGTGTGTGTGTGTATGTATGTATGTGTATATGTATGTATGTATGTATGTATAAATATGTAAATGTATATTGTTCCCCAGATTGACCTTTATTTTTTATTTTACCATCATCAGTATTACATATATAAACTCAGAAGACATGTGTTCACTGGTGGTTTTGGATAATAAATAAAATTGTTATATTTGTATTATAGACAACAGGACCCCTGGTTGCTGTCACCACCACTGTAAAGAAATCTGAGCTGGTAAGTTTCTCTATAAATGAATTATTTCACATCAAACCACTCTAAATGACTTTGTTTATATTTTAACAACTGAATTATGGAGAATTTTTGAAAAATCAGTATATTCTCTTTTAGAGCACGTCTTGATTAGAGAAATGAAAGTTATTTAGACAGTGGTGACTGGGTAAAATTAATTTCATTCATACTGAAATCAGTAAAATAAAATTTAATAGAGGTTTTAATTCAACAGAAACTTTAATGTTGCTTCGATAGGGACTTGCAATAGTGGCCGATATATCAATATATCATGGACTGACTGTGATGTTACTGATATTTAGTTTTCTGCAATATTTTAGCAATTTTTAAATAAATATTGAACATTACATAATGCCAATAAAATAGCAGTGCCACTGTTGTTTTTATTTTATTATATCATAAAAATACAAAAATAATAAAAAAAAAACTAATAGGAAGAAAAGTAAGGTATTTTTCCTGGAAACGTGGTTTTTGTTGGGTTAACAGTTACAATACTGTGTAAGGTTCTCTTTGATGAAAAAAGAACAAAACGGTCCAATCAAAACAAGCTATGTCAGGTTTGTAAGACGTTCCTTTGTGCAGAGTAACTTACTTACAGCTAAGAAGCCAAATATCTTTTTGGAGCCATATAACTGTAGTGACTGTCTTCAAATCATCTTTACAGTGGAGAGAGTGGATTAGTCAAATGCCCCCTCAGATGGAGAACATGGTAAACTATAAGCTAAAGTTAACAAGGTAGTTAACTGGCTATTTAGGTACCTTACTTGGCTTCTTTTCTCTGGCTGAATTGTCTCTGAGATCGATTTTGTGCTGAATAAAGACAGACTCACTGTTTTCTTCATGAGTTTATCTGACAGCCGACATCAGAGTTACGCTAATGCTAGCTTGGTTGTATTTATTAGCCTAAAGCTCAGTGACTAGACTAGCAGGCAGGATTAGTTAAGCTCCACAGGCCCAATGGTTGAGTGATGTGTTTGTTAGGTGCAATGCATGCTGGGTGTTGTACTGAGAGAACATTGGTGAAGGAAAACATGAAAACAATATAAAAGCATGAATTCTGTGACACTGTTGAGGCTGAGTGCTGCAATGCTGTGATAATGTATACTGTATACGAATACTGCATAACACGACAAGTAAATTTAAAGAAGCCTAAAACTCTAGTTTTAGGCTTCTTTAAATTTCCTAATGCTGTATATTGATGACACAGTGGAAAAATCAGAACATACTAATACTAATACTGAATTTCACCAACATCACCCTGCATCACTTTAAAGCAGCGGTCACCAACCCTCCTCCTAGACATCTGCTGTTCTGCAGGTTTCACCTTTGACCCAAATCTAATACCCATTCAGCTAATCAGGGAGTTCTTAAGGCAAAAACTAGATTGATCAGGTGGTGTTGATTAAGGTTGGAGCTAAAGTCTGCAGGAAGGTAGATCTCCAGGAACAGGGTTGGTGACCACTGCTTTAAAGGTTTCTTTTGTTTGATTTTATCTTTCAGAAAGGAGCATGGAGAATGATGAATTTCCGCCAGCGGATGGGATGGATTGGTGTGGGACTGTACTTGCTGGCTAGCATCGCTGCAGTCTACTATATGTTCGAGATTAATCAGACCTACAATCGACTCACACTAGCACATGTGGAGAAGGTGACTGGGACACACACGACCGGAGATGCTGCTTCATCCCCTTCCTCTTCAACCTCCTGGACACAAAGTGTGAAGACCAGGCTACTGCTGCTGCCCTTCTGGGTTTGGGCCACCATCTTCCTTATTCCTTATCTCCAAGTGTTCCTTTTCCTCTACTCATGCACCAGGGCGGACCCCAAGACTGTGGGCTACTGCATCCTGCCCATCTGCCTGGCTGTTCTCTGCAACCGACACCAGACCTTTGCCAAGGCGTCCAATCAGATCAGCAGGCTTCAGCTGATTGACACCTAATGAGGCCACTTGTTGGTCAGGAGCACAGTCACCATGCCCTTAAGGGTAGAGGAGCCAGACGTGTATACATGTGTATACAACTTTTGTGCACTCGGTAAATATCGCAGGCAATCCTGTCACAAGACCATTTAATAAGACGGAACAGGGGGCCATGGTTTGTACTTATGCTTTTTAAGATGTAAGCCTAATGTTGTAAAGGCATTATTTCAATTACATTCTGTTTCCAAGAAATTTATTACTAAAACATGTTTGTAGCGTTTTTGACAAGACCTGAGCAGGTGGGCTTGTACTTTTTAAACCTTGCTGCAGGAACAGTGGCGCTACAGTGACAAAAGGCAGTTGGTAACTCACTTAAGCAGCTGATTTGACACGATCCTTATTTGGCCCTTGCACCATCAGTCTATTTTGTTTTCAAAGACTTTTCACTGTAGTTCCATATCATTGACTGTCTAGTTCTTGATAAGAGACTTAAACAAAAAAAAAGAGTTTCTAAAATCATTATATTGCTAAGCCCATCATTAGACAATAGCAAGAGTATTAGTTGGGCCTCTTCTATAACAGTTAAGAGATTTTAAGGCTACAGTGTTTTTGGAAAACTTACCACTGGACCATGTGCTGTTGGTATACAGTTTAAAGCAGACAGTGTGGATTTTGTATGCATTTCTAATTTGTGTACAACAAAATACAGCACTGTCCACACATGAATTTTAAAGAACCCTTTTCACCATTATAACAAAAACAGAAACTAAACATACAAGACTGTGTGCAAATCAGAGACCACTCTTTATTAATTTAATTTCTGCTTAGAATGGCAATTAAGTCCAAGTTATTAATTTTTCAGTGCCAGGGAAAAAAGTAAGAAACAAATATTTTAACAGAAAATTGCACAAAAGCCTCCAACAGTAAGTATATCAGTATTTAAATTGTCCAGTTTTTACATCTGCCACTTTACCTTCCATCCTTCCAATCTTAAAGCCAACCAGTTACAGCTGTGCCCTCCCAAAAAAGGAGTAACATAACACTGATATTATGTTCCACATTGAACTGACACCAACATTCACACAAACATTCACACAAACTCACCTTAGCTACCTTCAAATTTCTTTTACATGTATGTCTAAAATGGCTAAAGGAGATATTTCTGATTAGATTATATATAAAATAATCCACTTCATTAAGAAGGGGAAAGTCAGAGGAAAATAAGTGAAAAACAGGATTTCCAAAAATGATTAAAGCATACAGAGAACATGGGACTCCTTACAACTGTCCAAGACCTGGTAGACCACCAAGACTGTCCGCCCTCAGATAAACAGTGCTTAAAGCTGTCATCTTTGAGAGAGAGGAGAAAATCATGCTTCACTCTTGCTTCAGATCTGAAAGAATCCACAGGTGTTTCTGTCCATCCTTCCACTGTGAGAAGACAACTTAGCATTATGGGTCTGAAAGGATGTGTAGCTGTCAAGAAGACATTACTGAGAAAAGGAGAAATGTTCTGTATTTAGTTGTTGAGGAGTCTGTGTAATTTTCTATTTAATATAAGCGTTCTGCTTTTTCCTGACACTGAAAAATAAATAACTCATATGTAATGCCCATTTTATTGAAATAAATGAAAGGGTGATCTCTGCCTTTTGCACAGTACTGTACGTCTAATGTTAGAGCAGAAATTAAACCTTGACCATGCAAAGCATTTCCACAGTGTAAAAGCGCATGATCCAACTCACCATGTGTTTCATAGGAATTAAACTCCAGATTCAGGATAAACTTATTTGGCTTACAATAAGTGTGGAATAAAAGGGCTGAATCCTTCCTAATACAAATAATTGGTGCAAATCTACACTTTTGATTGGTGGATTGGCTTACTTATTTGTACACATAGTGCTGCTAGTAACTGGTAAAGCTATGTATTATTAGCAGTAGTACAATTTTTGTAATAAAGTCATTGCCAGGTAGATATCATTGTTCTTCTAAATGAAAAAATCTTCCCTTGATTCTATTTTGAATGCAGTCAATGTAATCGACAAAAATTATACAAATATTGTAGGGGTAACTAAACCTTTCATGAAATGATAAGTATTTGTAATAATCCTTTGAAGAACAGTTTCATTTTCAGTATTTTACGTCCAATATGATCATTGACCCTGGATCTGTGCTTAGATTTTTTTTTTTGCCTGTGATGATTATGCGTCTTATGCCATCAAAAAGTGAAAGAGACTCTTGCTCAGTTCTGTTGTCTTTCATGCTAAAACTTCTGTCTGAAAAAAAGTCTAAAATTTTAAGAAGGAATGAGTAGCTTTTTAAGTTCTCCTGCCAGTTGCACAGAGTATCATTTGCTTACCAGGTCCTCAGTACAATGTTTCTACATATTCTCAGCTTATAGATCTCTATTTACTTCTTGTCACCCTCCTTATCTTCACATGCAAAATTCTATCTCTCGGCAGAACTTATAAGGCAGTGACCTATTTTGGCTTTCTTACTACTCTGAAAAATAGTGCATACCAGACTCATTCAATCCACCTTTTTTGTTATTTAACGACAGCATTCAGGAATGAAAATGACTTGTCCATTAATGTTCTATAGCCAGCATACATTGTTTTAGCTGATATAGATTTGAATAAGTCATTAGTGGATTGGAGTCTATCTAGATCTCGATCTAGGAATGGAGTTGACTAATTTCTATAAGATGCTCTTTACTTGCATTATTTTGGCCCGTTAGTTGTATTCTTGCTTAGGCTTGTGCCAAAGACCCAGGGTTAAAGTTTTTAATGCACTGCTTATTAGTATAGACACTGCCTTTCATTGTTATTTCATTGTTCATAATATATGGATGGTTTTATTCATTTGTAAGCCACACAAAAGAAGGCAGTGGCATTCTTACTGTTTTTGTCTAAAAGGGCTTGTATGTGTTTTTATAATGAATGGGTATTTATGTTGGGGTATTAGTGATTTACCTGCCTTTTTAATCTCAATGCACTGTGATTTAAAATAAGTAAGGAAACATAATAAATGTTTTTGGAGAAATGCTTTCCATCTGAACTTGGAAATGTCATTATTCAAATCAAGCTAAGCTAAACTGAGCTGCAAAAACAACCTTGAATATTTTTGATTTCACAAAAAGCAATGTTTGCACACAATCTATCCATTCAACTTCTGGCAGTTTAGCCTGACCCATTCACGCTGAAGTTATAAGGCATCTTTCAGCTCTTCGCTTCTTTTAGAATGAGGCACAGTAATTTGCGTATATCAGTCTTAAAGGTGCAGTAACATAATTTGTTCACTTGTAAGGGATAAAGAGAGGTTGGAAAATGGTCATATAAAAATGAGTTATGTCTGTTTTTGGTACATAAAACCACATACATTGTTACAATGAGAGGAAGTACTAAGATACAAGAAAGATACAAGATAAGGACAGTTTCAGTTCATTTAAAACTGCTATACTACTATAAGAACATCCCTCATAGTACTGTGTGTTGTAGCCTAATCTTACAACTGGCTAATGATTTTTATAAACTGCAAGACTAAACACTGAGTTTTTCATATTTAGATATTTATTTAGAAAATTTAAATACATTGTTTTTTTACACAAGGAAGTGTTACTTGATATCCATAAAAACCAGACCTGCATTCCTCTATACTGTATTGCTCTCTCAAACAATTAGCATTATACAGTAACACATAATTATAAGTTTCAAAATGTCCAACAAAAAAAGATGTTGAAAATATTCCCCCAATGAAAGGGCTTCCAAAATTTCCAAAAGACTGCAGCTACCCAAAACATAGCTCTCCTTCTAGATGCTCTGTCTGAAGGTCCATCCTTACATCTGAAGCTGCAGAAGTGAGGCTAGATAAGTTTACACCTCCACATATCATTCAGCATGCTGCTATACCAGCACTGCAGTGTTTCGCCCCATTATATCCATTTCACATGGAGAATGCAATGTCAAGGCTTTAAAGCCTTCAGACGCTTTGCTGGAGGTCCGTCTGAGTTTGATTTCACTACAGCTGTTTCTTTGGCATCTTCTTGTTCATCACTGTCATCCTCATCCTCCTCCTCTAAAGGGTGAAGAAATTTAGAGGAAGAAAACATGTTTATTTAAAAAACAAATAACTTCTGGGTCATAGAGACATTAATTAAGTACAGTCTTGGACTAAAGTGGAGTGGTAATGGTCATTTAGCACTGGAATGTTTTTCAGTGGAGTCTTAGGCTTAACCTTCACCTGGGAAGGCGGGACTTCATTTAGGCAGAGGGGTACATGCAGGGCGTTGTAAGGCAAAACAGCCCCAAGGAAAACTTATTTTTTCAGATTTCTGACTATTTTACCATCATCAACATTATATATGAAAACCCAGAAGACACGTGTTGGTTCACTGGTGGTTTTGAAAAAGTAAATAAAATGGTTAGTGTTGTAGACATTGAAATCCCTGGCTCCTACCACCACCACTGTAAAAAAATTTGAGTCTGTAAGTTTCTCTACAATAAAATATTTCATATCGAACCGCTCTAAATAACTCTATACATCCCAAAGACTGGATTTTTCAGAAATTTTGAAAAAATGGTGGAATTCTCCTTTAAGGGAACTCCTTTTAGCGGACTCAATTAAACCTTACAATTAGGAAACAATTGGGAAAAAATACACAGATGTGTGCAAATAAGTTGATACCAAACCATTTTTACGAAGCTTAACTCTGCTTATTCACCAGCTTCTTGTTCGAAACTTCCCGTTCCACCTTAAATTGTGCTGCACTTGGCTACATTGCGGCACCTCAGGCAACAGGACGCCCATGTTTGCATTTGATAAAATATACTAGCTCTATATATATTAGATATATTTTTACAGATTACAGATCTGAGAAAACTGTGAAATAAAAGTGCAGTCTAGTTTTAGCGTTAGCCTCTCTTACCGTCCACCGGAGAGTCTCTTTTATTCCCATCACCACTTAAACACTTCTCTTTTTCGACGAGGCTCGTCAGAACCTCTGAAACTTCTGAGTTTAATTTCTTGACGCCACTGATGAGTGATTTTAGGCTATTCTCTGTTTTCACGATCATCGTTTTCGTCTCTCCGTCTCTGTATCTCAGCTCTCCTTTCAGCTCGCAGGCTGCCATGGTGCTTTGTTTTGGTAACCTCTGAACTCTGACCTCTTACAGCGCGCTAATTTCGCTTAGATTTCTGCTTAATTAACTGTAACTGATTACTGTGTTTTTAATCTTACTTTGCGTATTAAAGAACAAGAAATATTTAAGAGTCTGTATCCATTTAGGACTTAAAAAATGATCATTTTACTGATTCACCCTTTCCCGCCAAACCGGGGCTAATTTGCATAACCCGGAAACGGTCATCCTCTCTGTCTTGTTGTTGTTGTTGTCTGATTTTGTTTTTATTTCTGTTGTTTTCTGTTTCGCTCAGTGAGGAAGGAGAGTTTGCTGCTGTACATTTTAACAGTAGACATTGTTTCAGTAAAGCTGTACACGTTCGGCGTGTCTCTTGTTTCAGTGTCGTTTCTGTCCCCGCCCCACAGTGAACTCTGTTGGAGTGGAAACAGGAACTGGAAACCATTTATTTTTTTATTTTTGCGCTTGTTTCTTCAAGGATGGCGGCAAACGAGGCTGACGAGGAGGCGACCGTCTCCCTGGTGGACGTGTTGGAGGAGGATGAAGAGCTGGAGCAAGAAGCCTCAGCCGTGCTCGGAGGCAGCGACTCAGAAAAGTGCTCTTATCCAGAAGTGAGAATGTTTTTCATTTCTTTATTTGGGAATGTGGGCGTTTCTAGACTACGTGTCCAAAAGTTTGTAGACACCTGCTCGCTCACCCAACGTTTCTTCTGAAATCAAGGATGTCAGTAAGGGCTTCGTCCCCTACTTGGCTGCAGTAACAACCTGTACTCTTCAGAGAAGACTTTGAACTAGATGTTGGAATATTGTTGTGATTAAGATTTGATTGCATTCAGCCACGAGAGCATTAGTGAGGTCATGTACTGATGTTGGATGGTTAGTTCTGGATCACTCCACTCCACCTCTTCCCAAAGGTATTGGATGGAGCTCCATCACTCCAGAGAACACAGTTCCTCTGTTCCACGGCCCAAAGCTGGGGGGCTTTACATCTTTTTAGTCGACCCTCGGTGTCGGACATGGTGACCTTAGTCTCAGGGGCGGCTGCTCCAGAGCCTCCCAATGCAAGCAATGCTTTTCTATGGAGATGAACTTATACGTTGTTTTTGCGCAGTTGAACACCTGTGTTAGCAATGGCACCTTAAAGAAGTTGAATTCATTTGAATAGCAGTGCTGTCTGGATATTTTTGGACATTAGGTTAATGAAGATCCGTGTAGATAGCAAGCGGAAAGTCGCCTGAGTTGACGAGGCTGAAGTTGGAATCTTATTCGAATTTCCCGTTCCACCTTAAATGGTGCAGCAGTTACATTCTGAGGCTCCAGAGTGTAACTGTTGCACAATTTAAGGTGGCACGGGAAATAAGAAGCCAGCTTCACCCTCGTCCTGCGTCGCACGACGGTAGCGAAGCACAAGAGCACCAGAAAGAGTGTTGGCTTTTGTTTTAAACATCATCTCCTTCGAAAGCCGCACAGAAAGTTAACAGTTCAGTTAATATCAGACACACGGTGCACTGATTACAGTGATGGCCGTAATGTTGCTAAGCTAACAGACTGGGGCTAGACTTTGTCTCCTCTCCAAAACAGAGCAGATACTTTTCTTTGAGCACATTAACGCACTGTAAAAACTCTGTTTCAACTTCTGTTGCAGACGTGGATGGATTTGGATGAACATTTGGACGAAAAGAAACAGCCCAAGTCGGCCATTTTGTTTCCTATTAAAGGGGAATTTCGCTGATTTTTCTGAATTTCCACATAATTCAGTCACTGAGATGTAAAAAATCAGAGTGGATTGGTGTGAAAATGGTTCATTATAGAAAAACTTACCGACTCAGATTTTATTACAGTGGTGGTATCAGGAACCAGGCGTCCTGATGTCTGCAAGGAAGATGCAACTATTTTACTTAGTACCCAAAACCAACATTTATTATGTTAATTATTATAAAACAGTGGTAAATCTGGGGGTACTGTTTTGCCCTCCCTCAGCATATGGAGTAAAACAACATCTCTGGCATCAGCCTGTTTTAGAGGAGGGTAATATAACTGTTTCATTGTTATTGTGATGAACATTATGCTTCTCTGAGCATATTGTGGATATTATTAGTACTTAAAGGATACTAACCAACTGCATGTTTCATTAAAAAGAGAGCATAATCAGTCCTGTTTGATTGGATTTAGAATAATAACTTTCTGCAGGGTTGCTTTTAGCACGAAACACCAATTGTAATTTTTCATCAAACTACATTTTGACTGTTCAACTAGACAGAAGTTTTGAACGATTGGTGGAACACTCATTGAATCCCGCAAATGCAGCAGAAAAAATCCTCATATTCCAACCCATAAAATAATTATATGATAACTATGGATGACAATTGTTGCCTAACCTAAGCACATGGGTCACATTAATACTAGACCTGTATCATGCAGTGAATATGCAGCATAGAACTAGTAATGATGCAAAGACTTCAAAATCTATTTTGATTTATTTCAAACTTTTGTTCATGTAATTTTCAAAGGATTTAGCTTAAGTTTATGTTGTTGATTTTTATTTTCTTAGGGATACGTGAAGCGACAAGCTCTATATGCATGCAACACCTGTACACCAAAGGGAGGGGAACCTGCAGGGATTTGCCTGGCCTGTTCCTACAAGTGCCATGAGGGCCATGAACTATTTGAGCTCTATACTAAGAGGTACACCACTCAGTCTATCTGGAGAGATTTTATGCTTACTGCTTTTTATGTTTATATATAGCGCTGGGTGGTACTGATAAAATTCAGTATCACAGTATTTTTTTTCAAATAGATGATATCATGGCCAGCATTACTTATCTAAGAGCTGTAGAAGTGATATTTTATATAAGAATATAGCATTAATGTATCTGTTACAAGGACTGTGCATCAGTCATGATCTAGGATTCTTTGCTTTGTAGGAATTTCCGCTGTGACTGTGGAAATGACAAATTTGGTGAGATGGAATGCAAGTTATTCCCAGTGAGTGCTCTTTTTTGCTTCTTAGTCCTTCTTATGAAATGATGTCTATTGTTCTTGTGATTGTATTTGTGATCTTGTCTCACTCTTATCACAGGAGAAAGAAAAAGCCAATTCTGGGAACAAATACAGTCATAATTTTTTTGGCTTGTATTGCACCTGCGACAGACCTTACCCAGACCCCGAGGATGAGGTACAAGTTGAGTCTGTTTTTATTTATTTATTTTTTTAAAACTGCTTCACTTGGGATGAATTAATGAAAGCACTGTCTCTCGTGCTCTTTTCAGCTTCCTGATGAGATGATCCAGTGCATCATCTGTGAGGACTGGTTCCACGGTCGGGTGAGTCCTACACCAGATTGTGGTTTAGGTTTGCAGGTTAGCACGTTAGTTAGCATGTTGGCTTGTGGCTAGTGTATTAATCTTATTATCTTGCAGCTAGATCATATAAGTACGGTATATAATCTTTTAATCCCAACTTTTATTTAATGTTGTGCTTTTATCTCGCTCTTGCTCTTGCTCTCGCTATCACTTGCAGCACTTGGGTTGTGTGGTGCCAGAAAGTGTGGAGCTCCAGGAAATGATCTGCGAGTCCTGCATGAATAAATCTCCATTCCTCTGGACCTATGCTGCCCATGTCGCAGGTAATATATGTATATTTATTTTCTTCAGTTAAAATATGTGCCTTAAATTAGAAATTGTATCCTTGCGGCTAGAGCATATGACCTAGATTATGTAATTTATAAATCACAACTTTAAATAAAAGCGCAAACATGTATTCAATAAGAGTTAATGAGTATAAAATGTTTATGGGTGCTGTTTCAGTTCGCAAATAAATTCTCATGCATAAAATACATAAGTGCATTTTAGAGCATATAATCTAGAGTATATTATTCATAAATCACAACTTTAAATAAAAGGTGTAAGCGCAAACGTATTAAATAAGAATGTATGTTCATGAGTATAAAATGTTTGTAGGTGTTTAGTTCTGTTCACAAATAAGTTCTCCTACATAGAATACATAATGAAATAAGAAATTGAAGTAGTTAAATGCAGCAGTAGACTAAATACAACTGCATATTCTGTATGTCTTGTTGGTAATTGGCTTTATGAAAAGTTGACATTATTGTTTCCATCAGTGCCTCCTGTACTCAAAGTATGTAAAGCAGAGGAAGAAGGGAAAGTAGAGGTGGAGCATGATGAAGAGGAAACTAAGCCGGAAAAAGAGGTTTCAGAGAGCACAGAGGACAACAAGGTATCATGTCTGTTTGAAGTGTCAAATATATTTTAATGGTTTTGCTCCACTGATGCCAGTGTATAAATATGTATTGCGTAAATTGATCATGACTCACTGTTTGCTAAGTGAAAAACGAGGCATTATGTCATTGCTCACCACAAGGTGGCAGTACTCTTCTTCAAACTTAGTTTGTAATTGTAGATGGCTGAGCTTTGAATCCAAAGGATGATGTGTCCTTGTCGTATGAGGTTCTTCTCAGCTCTTATCTGACTTCTCCCTGAAACATGTTGATATTTTGTTTATTTAGAGTTTATTACTTTAGTCTGACTTGTTGGAGGCTTACTGGCAGCTGCTTTGGGTTTGTCAGTATCACGTCCATGCTGAAAATCATCCACTACCCAAATAAAATCTGGTCTGTGGTGGTCCTGTGATGGTCTCTTTCCATTGATGGACAAGGAAGAGGGCTGATAAATTGTGCAGCCACAGATGTGCTACAGTCTGTAACTGTTTACCTACAAAGTGCACCTACACTGACTAGCCATTTATTAGGTAGGCCTAAGTTGTATCTGCACTCATTGCCCATTTTATCTGGTCCACTTACCATATGGGTGCATTTTATAATTCTACAATTACAGATTTCTGTCTGTTAGTTTCTTTGCATAATTTATTACCCCCCTTTTTACCCCATTCATAATTTTTCTGTTTACATATAAAATTGAACAAAGACAATATCAGGTATGCTGTTCACTATCAGAAGTACCCTATTGATGAATATAAGCTTGTCTGGCTGCCAGTCAGCTGGTTGGGCAAGTGATTTTCAAAGCTGCTATCCCAAAATTGTTTGTCCTGGGATACTAGGCAGTTGTTACTGTTGGACCCTGCCCACAGGACCACGACTGAGTAAGTATTATTTTTGTGGTGGAGCATTTTCAGTACAGCAGTGTCACTGACTGGTAGTGGCTGTAATTGTAGAACCAACGTACATCTACAGTCATATTCCAAAGTTTGCATGCCACTTGTTAAATGCATGTTTGTTCCTCTACGGAGAACAAACATCTGCGCATTTTAATACACAATTACTGTTTATTAACTGACCCTAACATATTGGGGGGGGGGGATAATAAAACATAAATTGTGTCCTGTTTAAGTGTCATGGCATGTGGCATATGGTGTGTATGTTTTATTTTTTTCCAGTATGTTAAACTCATTGTGCACTAAAATTTGCATAAAATGTCATCTTTAAGTTTGTTTGAGGAGACTTTCACCTAGAATATTAAGGAAACATGTAATTTGGCCTTTCTTTGGACAAAATAGATAAAATGGACAATAGGTATGGATAGTCTTGATAGTATTAGGTAGGAGTACCTAATAAACTGGCAACTCGGTGCAAGTATTGCCTTTAGTTGTTGTCTTTCTTTGCCTTCTGAAACATGCCCACTGTCACTGACACTGTGCTTCTTCACATACAGCAGCAGGTGGAGGTGAATGGGACAGCAGGCTGTAAGCGGAAGCTTCAGGAGCTAGAGGACACCTCGGCTGAGGGCTCGTGTTCAGGCTGCAGGCTCGAGGAGATGAAGGCCTCTGGGCAGAGCAGAGCTCAGCAGGGGGCTGTGTTCTGGCCGTCTGCCTGGCGTACCAAACTCTGCTCCTGCACCCACTGCAAGGTACAACACACCAGGCTTCAGAATAAATAAACCAGTGTAGATTACAGTGTCCTGCTGACTGGGCGTGGAGCTTAAATGACACCATCCCTGAGAACAGACGTTTAGTGCATTTGATAAATTTACGACCTGAGTCATATTGAAGGAGCAATCACAATGTTTTAGGTTTTTGCAATAATTTTTTACACTAAACATTTGAAAAAAATATTAAAGAAAGTAAAAATGTACAGAAACTATTTCCAAATGGAACTGTCACCCTAGCAGTGGAAAGAGTGGTTTAAAGGGAGAATTAAGGTAAAAGTTCAATAAATTGAATCAGAGATATAATTTAAATGGATGTTTTGTTTTGGATGCATTTGCAGTCCTATTTACTAGAATAAATTGTGAGTGTGATTGTGTTGGTCTTGGCTATCTGTATCATTCTAGTTTTAGATTTTCTCCACCTTTTGATTTATTAGAAAATGCTCTTTTGGGGTTTTAGCAAATTATTTGCTGCTGACTTCACATTGAATTCAACATAAACAAGGCTCTTCACCACAGAATCTGTTTGCGGATGCTGGAGTGGCCTTCCTCCTGGACGAGACTGATACTGTTCTTGCCTATGAGAATAAGGGCAAAACGACAGAGCAGGCAGGTGGGGTAGAGGGTCGTGACCCTTTGATGTCTGCCCTGAACAACCTAAATCGTGTTCAGCAGCTGGAGATAATTCACGGTGAGACTGAATACTGTTTAGAATAAACATTTTTAGCTCTGTGCTAATCTACCTAGAACACAGTAAGCATATTGGATTGTTCATAAGACTAAATTGTTGCTAATAAGCAAGGTCATGATTATTATATTTTCTATTCCATGTCTTTTTTTTTTCCTCCCCCAGAATATAACGACATGAAGACAGAGTTGAAAGATTACTTGCAGACATTTGCAGCAGAGGGCAAGGTGTGTTGCTTTACTTGGAATGCCTTCTGAAAATGGCAGAGATACTTGCTGTTGTATTGCACCTTACCATATGTTTCCTTCCTTGCGCAGGTGGTGACCCCAGAAGACATCCGCCACTTCTTTGAGCAGCAGCAGACTCGTAAAAGACGACGGGCCAATGCTGGACAATACTATTGTAGTTGAACCGTCCTTGAGCAAATTCGTACTATAGCCTGCCAGCTACATGTTGACCCAAATCTTCCTGACCCCTTCGTCTGCCCACGCTCAGCAGCACCTCCCCAAACCTGTTACTTTTTTTTTTAATATATAAAATATGCAGATGTGAATCCAGAGGCCATTACAATCATTTGATTTTGAGCTTGTAAAGACTGGTTCATGTGTTGGTTGGTAATTCCCAAAGATTCATTTCTTTTTTTTCTCTTTGAATTTTCATTTTCAGCAGGGTAGGAGTTGGAGCTGCACAGATCAGCTGCACGTTTTAGTGGTTGTGCATTTCAGGGCTTATTTCTGATGATCCAGCATCAGGTTTCCCACTTCTATAGTGACCTTTGATACTACAGTAGAAAATAAGACTGGTACAGGAACGGCAGTTCTCTAATATGCCTTGTGAATATATATGTATATGCCCATTTATTCCTCAGGAGTTCTTCTCTCTTGTAGCAGTTAAAAATACAGCCATTTTATACAAAGACAGTTATTAACTGTTTAAAAAGTTGAAAAGTCACATTCTTAATCTGTAAATCCTTGTGCGGTGGTAAATAATGAAGGTTTGTGGATGTGATGTGTTTGGGCCAATATCAGTAAAGACTTTTGCTTCTTAGCACGTGGAAAACCCTCTCACACAACCACTTAATGATGCATATCGAATACCTTACCCAGTCATTGTGATACCTGCATGGGTAAATGCTAAAGGCGAAAGCCCCAGTTAGGATGTTTTTTGCATGTTTCTCACTGGTGTTGGAAGCTTGATTTGTCCTGAACAGATTTCAGCACAGTCACTACTTCAGCCAGGACATTGACTGGACAGATCAGTGCGTGTGTAATTACTCTTAAACGCATTCAGATTGGGGCTTTAAGTATGCCAGGCCATTTGATGATGGTTGTGACCAAGTAGTAATTTTATTATAATTGTTTTATCTGTTTACTTTGTAGATCTTCTGTTACTTTGTACATGTCTCTTTGAGAAATAAAAAATAATACTTTCACTTTGTTTCATTCGTCTAGTTCATGAAAGATTTAGTATGATACAATTAAGGAACCTTTTCCAACACTCAATAGAAAGCAGCAACTCTTCTTGGACGAAAAGAGCCGTAAGGAAGATTCCAAAAGCTACTGTAATCAGAATATTAATGTGATAGATCAGTGACCAGACCTGTCAGGGTCGCGCACCATTTGAGCTGGCTCTGGCAAGCTGTCCTCAGGGATTAGACTAGAGCTGAAAGTAGAGACATAATACGAAGCTGTGAAAAGTCTTATTGCTTTCTATATATACACACACAACTGTATGCAAAAGTTAAGGTGCTGGTCAATTTACGTTTTGTTGATTTTCTAAGTAAAAAGAAGTTGCCATCCTTTACAGAGAACACAGTTCTGCAGATTTTAATGCCCAAATAATATTTGTTGAATTTAACATTGGGGGAAAAATTAAACATAAAATGTGGCCTGTGCAAAAGTTATGGTATATTGTTATTTTATTATTTTATTTTAACACTCAGCCAAAAAAGAAAAACACTGTCCATTTATTTTTTAAAACAAATATTTAAGTTCGATCCCTTTAGAGAATGTTGTAGCTTACTAAAATCAACAAAATGTCATTTAAGCATACATTTTGTAAATCATATATTTTAAATAACGTAGTTTCATGATATTTTTGGTGAACGCTACATAATAAACTGCACATGGTACATTGACATTTTGCCACTTAAACTACATTATCAATGATTTTACTGAAAGGATCAGTGCTTGCTGTGGAAACTGCTGTATCCATAGGGCTGATTAAACAGGATTACTCAATGTCATAAAATTGGCCTTTTCCATAAATATTTAAGAATCTTTGAAACACTGTGTATAGTTTGCTATTAAGTCCATTTTTAGTTTGCCTCAGCCTATAAAATAATTGGTTGAATATGCAATGAATATATCTTCAACAGCCCTCGCTGCAACAAGCAAATACTTCAATTAAACTTTTTTTTTTTGATTTAGGTTTGTGATTTTAAAATGTAAGTAGTTTATTCCCACTGCTTTATTTCAAAGTCTGACTCTACTGAATTAAAGTGGAATTCCACAAATTTTTCGAATCAAAAATTTCTTCTTTTAAGATGTTAAAGTAATTCATACTGGTTTAATGTGAAATGCTCTGTTTAAGGGCACTGTAAGGCAAAACAGCACCCAAAGAGATTAATTGTTCAGATGTACCACTTTTCCCTTCATCAACATTACATATTTCACCAGTTTCACAAGTTGTTTTGGAAAGTTAAAAAAAAAAATAAAACAAGTATATATTTGTGTTGTAGACGCCTGGTTCGTATCACCACCCCTGTAAAAAAAAAAAAATCAAAGTTGGTAAGGTCCAAGAAATGAACTGAGCCTTGCATGGTTACTATCAAAGCTGTTTATTTTAAAGACGTTAGTCATCTAATTGCAGATTTAAGATCACTGTTACGCCCCCCACGGAGAAGAGTAGAAAAATAGACACTTCTCACAACTCCATACAAGAATCTAAAAGAAAGCTTATTTTTTTTATCCTGGTATATATACACCAAATAGATGTGTCGCATATTTGTTATATAGATATATATAAAAATCTTTACACTTTACATACATCAAAACACAACATTTCCGAGGCTTCTGATCAAAGGTACCAAAAAATCTTGAAAAATACTCTTGAATAAACAAAACAAAAACAGAACACTGTACATTAAGCATTGGCTACAGTATTACAAAGAGACTGGTTGACATAGGCTTGTAAAAATGGCTTGCATAAGACATAAGGGGTCAGGAGAAAGCCCAGCCTCTGGCAGGTAAGGCACTCAATTTTCTCCGTCAGAGAGAAAGCAAAAGCAGGAATATTGAGATCACGACTAAAACAGTCAACTTCCTTTACCCCCTCACACATCCATAGGCAAACCTTTCATTGAACCCAGCCATGCAGCAGTCAGAAGCTAAATAACTCAATGCCATGCAAAAACAAAATAATACTTTAAGGGTTAGGAATGAGTGTATTGTGCATTGTGTCTTCAGGAAAGACAACTTGCGTGCAAAGAGTGACACTGAGGATAAACTAGCAGGACAGACGCAAAGCCAACAGGGCCACTAAATCCACAGCAAACACAAGACACGCCGTTATCAAAGAGTGAAAACTACTTTAAAATGTAGTGCAACTGGTACCTTTCCCTGTACATTCTTTCATTCAGTCCAGCCTAGGTATTTACTATATGAATACAAACCTATCCCTAAGCACTTTCAATGACTTGCAGCTGAAAATGTGCTGGTTTGATGCATTTTGCTAAACAAACAAATCAACACCTCAATATATATATATTTATATATATAAAATCTCCCCCCCTCCCCCAAATTTATAGCAGAACCCAAAATGTAGTGCTGTCTTCTCAAAGACACTACACCATTGCTTTTGCTGGATTGCCCAGTCTTTGCGATTAGCTTTTAAGGTTAAAAGAAAGAAATTTGCTCTCAAGCACAACAAAGTTAATGAGCTCTGGAGAAACTCTAATAGGCTGGTTGCTCTTTATACTTGTAAGAGATATAATATGTCCAAAAGTATCCAGACACCCCTTCTAACTAGGGAATTTAGCTACTTTAAGGTTCACCCACTGCTAGTATAATCTCCACTAAAAAGCACTGGGATGCTCTGGATCAGCCACACAAAAGCCTCACCATGTCCAATGATCTGCCAGCATTGATCTGTAGAGCAGTGGAACTGCATTCTCTGGAGTGATGGAGCTCTTATCTTATGGATGAGTGCTCCAGAACTGAACAGCCAACATCAGTACGTGACCTCACTGATGCTTTGGTAGTTGCATGCTGTGAGAATATGATTGCAGTGTTCCAACATCTAGTGTAAAGCCATCCCATGAGAGTAGCTGCTAATAGGGAACAAATTCCCTATTAATACCTTTGACTTCAGAAGATACATTGGATGAGTAGGTGTCTACAAACTTTTGGACATACAGCATAGTCAGTAATATCATCCCTGCACCATGGTATTTAAAATGGCCTTACCACAGAAAATGACCAACTTCCACTGTATCCTCTTCAGTCTAAGGCCTGACTGGCTCTGTGTGTGACTGAACCATGTGAGGTCAATAGGAAGTGTCATCACTTTAAATGGTAACAAGTAAAAAAGTAAAAATTATCTATTCATCCCTCAAAATACCCAGTTTATGTTTTATGAAGTAGGAGACAGACACGCAGAGGTAACTCACAAGAGCAGACACAAATAAAAAAGAATAATAAAATATTAACAAATTGATGATTTAAATGTCTTTGCAAAAAGGTTCCAACAAGCCCTTGAGAATTCATAGCAGCAAATTTGTCAAACAGTTGCTATGTGTGCCTGCAAGTAAGCAGCAGCCGCAGCAGCTTTGTTATTTACACACTGCTAATTGGCCTTTGTAATGACGGGCCAAAAACATTTAGATGGTTACTGCACAAGCTCTGGCTGCTTTTATGCTAATGCACCTCAGAAGGTAATTGAACCGTTATGTGTGGAAATATCAGTCGCTTGGCATTTTTATATTGTAGGAAAAGAAATGTGGACAAACGCTGAAACAGTTTTGATGTGAGAATGGCTGCTCAACTTGCACTGACAAAGTAAACAAAATACTGGGTTTCCTCCTCAATTTGTTCATCAACTTGTGATGGAATAAACACTTTGAGTGTCAGGATGTACGAACAACGGACAAAGAACAGTCTCTCTCTCTCGTGCTATTAGCATGCTGCTCTCTCCCTCAGTCTGCTTAAGTCGTCAGCTCTCTGAGGATCTGTGCTGCAGCTTAGGGATTGTCGATCTCACTTTTTCCTCTCCCGATATTGATTCCAATACCTGAACTCAGGATATTGATCAATAGTACAGATCTAACACCAGTGGCTCTTTTTTTGATATCTCTCTGTGTGTAATGGCTTTGGATCATTGTTCTATATCTAAGGTGACACAAGGCTGTAACTACACTACCATTAAAAAAAACTGGACACACCTGAGTGTGTTTGTTTTCTTAAAAAGCCCAAATAGATTTTCATTGCTTTTTTGACACAGGTGAGTGAGATGTAGTAGGTAAACGTTAAAGTTTCAAAACACACACTCCCCAGTCTATTTTTAAAGAGATTTAACTTCAAAAACAGCCCATTCAGAATTGTTTTTTTGAAACCCTAACGTTTTTATATATTTATACACACACACACACACACACACACACACACACACACACACACACACACACACACACACACACACACACACACCCCTTCTGTTCAGGCTATAGAATTTTAGCCCCACCTATTCATGCCGATGTTAAGGAGTTCCAACCTGGATTGCTTTCTGAATGAGGCACAATATGTGGCAGCCAATCGAAGTTTCAGAGTTGTTTCTAAGACAAATATATTCAAATTGATGTGTATGAATGTGTCAAAAAATACTTTATTTTAAACAATATTTTCTGAAACATGTAGTTTTCATGAAGGACTTTAGTAAGCTTTAGAGTTGGCATCAAAATTATTATATACTCCTAATTACAGTGTGTTTCTCATTAAAAGTTAATTAGGAATGTCTGCCCTCGTTCATGCATTTTAGCCAATCAGTTATGATGTCACAAGGGCATGATGTCACTGAGTAGTTCTATTTCGTAGAAAGCCAATATTTTCTACTGGAGTAATTCTATATGAGGTATTTTACAGTTTTTAAGTCTTCATTATTATTCTAAAATGTGGAAAATGTTCTATATGAATAGGTGTGTTCATGTTTGACTGGTAGTGTATAAAAGAAAAAGAACAAATAAGTAAGATAAATGAAGTGCATGAAACAGCCATCTATACTGGATCATTTTAAACGTTCTTGATTTAAAAACTGTATTGAATGTGCATCAGTCACATCTTGCTAATATCAGAGACCGGTCAGTACCTGTGCCAGTATACTGGATCAGTGTTTCCCTACCGCAGCTACTTTTGCTGTGATTCTTTACAGCGTCTCCACACCAAAGCCTTAAAACACAGGGATCATATCTCAGGCCATATGATCCCCCAGAGTCTAGAAGGCAGCACTGTCAGGGCCGGAGGCACTAGCCGCTGAGGGTTTGTGAGAGCAGCCCGGATGGAAGGCCTGTGATGAGCATTTCGCTCAGATCAAGGGAGAGTAAAGCATTTCCAACAACATTATGCTAGGCCTTCATTTGCAGGTAAAACTGCTCGAAATCCAGACAAAACAACTGGCCACCTTGTGAAAACTGAGGTGAAGCACAACTCTGTTTCTTCTCCCTATATTTACAGGGAGCATCACTGAAATAACACATTTATTTAACCTTCTGTTCATCACTTAGCACTCTGACCCTTCCACCATATCATAGAAGCTGTGACTTTTCTTAGAAGTATAACAAAATGCTATGCAAAAAAAATAAAAAATAAAATAGTAGAATGAAGAGAAATTGGTTACTGTGACACTGTTGAACGATGTGATTTCTGACTACTCAGAAAATTGTGTTTGGAACATAAGGCTAAGAAGGTCTGATGGGAGTGAAACTGGTGGAAGAGAATAAACGAAACCACAACAGCGTGAATGGCAGGACAGCTAAAGAGAGGTAGAGTGTAGCAAGCAAGACTAAGCTTACATTTCAATAAGCCAAAGTTCATGTGATTTAAAAAGCCAGCCAAGATGACAGATGATTACACCCCACTGGCTTTAAGTACAGAGCAGTTTCACCCCTTGATCAACTCAACGGCAAATGAAACTGAATGTAAAACATGTAGCCTCACATACTGAGGCCAATCCCAAAGAGCCATAGTGACCAAACAATCCAAAACAAACCAGGAAGCAATGAATGCTCACAAATAAGCCAAAAATTAATTAAAATGAAAAATATTCCATGGTATTATAGCAACCACTCAACGCTCCATCCACAGTGCCAAACAAATGGACAACAGAAAACAGTAATGACAGCTCTTCAGGATGAGCTCTTGAATGAAATGTGATCACTGCAACATTTCCCTGATACTGAGACATTCCACAGGTGTTGTACTTGAGTATGATAAAAGACCATAATATTACAGTACCATCAAACATGGGATAAAGAGTATTCACATGAATATCAAAGCTGCATATTTAATGCATCAGCAAGTGAATCTGAGAGAGATCCTTTTCTCATGAGGATCCTTTTCTCATGAGGATAACAGGAAGAGAGTAAACTGAGGTGAGGTTCAAACAGCAGGGGCGTTTGATAACATTAACAGATGCAGCACTCAGAGATGCGCTCTTTTTTGGTGTGAACTTGCCAAACATAGAAAATTAATCATTTGAGGGTGGAATGCAGGTAATGTGAGGTAATGCTTCTTACGCCATGTCTAGTCCTCCAGAAAGGCAATATTCCCTCTGCATCCTTAAGTTCATAATACCTCTTCCTTGTTTTTTTTCTTTTTTTTGCAGGACCTGTTCTTGACATCATAATTGTTGATCATTGGTTGAGTAGAAGGATGTGCAGGCATCACTCAGAGACTCATAGCACAAATGCACGTCCACTGCAAAGATGTCGAGATTCTAAGGTTGGTTTGGTTGAGATCTCTCTGGAGGGTAAATGAAAGACCACCACCTATTCACCTACTTTCTGAGTGGAAATGCCTTTCAGTAATAGAACGGGAAAGAATAACTACCTGAAACAAAGAAAGATGGAGAATGTCCAAGCAGAGAAAGAAGACAAGTGAAAGAAAAGGACAGGACAGGAGGAAAAAGAAAACACTGACAGACACAACAAACAAATGTCTACTGCACAGGTAATGGAGCTTCTTTGCAATTGTTATGCCTGTTGCACAGCCTTATAAGAGGCAGGGGGATTTCATTTGTTTTCCTCTTTATGTTCCAGCCCAGTCTTTAAATTGCTCAGGCTAATGTACAAGCCTGTTGCAGCGGATTACAAAAGCTATTACTGCCGTTCTCCCTTCAAACAAAGAGGGAACTATTTGTCATGGACGAGGCGAAGGCCTTTGAGAGTGTTGTTTGTTGCCTGGGCATTTTTCAATTTATTCCTAAGGAATGGTAAAATGCATTTGTCTATATAAATAAATAAGTCTTCTCTCATTCTGCCACAGCTCTCACTCAAAGGCATGGAGATGAGAGTAATGGAAATGCACAGTGATGGTTCTGCATCGTTATGCAGTTTGGGAGACCATGTAAGACGGGGTTTCATTTCTGTCCTGATTGTCAGTTGCACCTCCTGTACAGGCAGGGCTACAGGGGGAACAAGTGAACCTTAGTTTCAGAGGTTTGTACACTGCTTGAGGAGAAGAACTGCAGCATTTAGATATTTGCTGTGTATCCCCCTCTCTTTCTTAGCACCCAACCAAACCAAGCTCTTACATAAGGCTTTCAATCTATATGTGGTTTGTGTCTTGAGCCTTTTGAGAGAAAGTCACTCCAGGCTTTAAGTGCCCTCATTAACACGCATAGCTGTTGCCCCTCCACTGAGCACAAAGGGGTACAGGACTGGGGGGTCCCTCAGTCTTTCTCAGGGGTCAGAGTGCAGACTTCCGGTAAAGGTATTCTTGTTTATTAGGTGACCTACGGTCCCGGCCCCCCATTCCTCCCTCTTCCCCTGTGCTGCCGCTGCCCAGGCCCAGTCCTGGCCCCTCTGCCCCAGCTCGACGGCCTGGGGGCCACTCATCGTATGGCTCAGAGGAAGGCCCTAGGCCACTAGTAAGGTCCGTTTCTCCTTTTGGCTGTGGCCTCTGAGTGGCCTGCGCGTTGGCCCCCTGAGTGACCAGGGCCAGGTCCAGCCTCTGCGGTGGCTGCTCCAACACGTCCAGGCGAAGGCCCTCAGGGGGTTCCCCAGCGTACACAGGTGGAAGAGGCCCGCTGCCCGTGGGCCGGCTGTGGATATAAAGGTCTGGACCACTGTAGTGCGGCGCGTGGCGTCCCGAGAACTCATATAGGTCAGGCTGCGGACCATCGGCCTTGGGCTCAGCTGCGTGCCGTTTGCGCGAGGAGTGAGGGTGTCGGCCAGAGTAGCAATGAGAGATCGGAGGAGCTGTGGAGACGTGAGGGTGCGAGTTGTGAGCCTCAACTTCCATAGTGACCTCAGGGAGGCGCCGATCCTTCAGGCTCATAGCCGACACTCCAATGGCAATGTCCGGCATGAACTCACTGATGACTGGCTCCATGTTCTGAAGGAATCAGCACAAGTAAAAAAAACTGGTTGCATAAAACTGTTCAAATGAAAATTTTCTCAAGTGCATGAGAAAGTTCACATTATATGGTGTGGATAAAATTCAGCTTTCACTTATGCAGCATACCTCCGTCGTTTTTTACAGATATATATATATATATATATATATATATATATATATATATATATATATATATATATATATATATATATATATATGCGCAGTGTTGGGGGTAATATGGTACAAAGTAATGCTTTACAGTAATGTGTTACTTTTATCTTGTAACAAAGTATAATGCATAACTGTTTAAATTCTTGTTGTCACATTACAGTTCCTTACTTGTGTTAATTGCATGGCTTTAAAGAGAACAAAAGAAATGGTATGTGATGCAATTATATTATATATATATTCTCTACATAGATTATCTGTGCATGTCCTTGTCTGTAATTTGCATTATCTGACTGCACCACTTTGTGAACATGAGCAGCACAGTTCCCATAATGTTTTTTCTTGTTTGTTTTCACAATTCTTACTGTTGAATAAATGCAGACAACAGAACAACAAACGTTCTGTATCTATGCTACATGTTGCACATGCGTGTTTTGTGTGATTTAGGCAAAAAGCATTAATGATGCTAACTGTGGGGTATAAGCTTCCATTAAATATTACCTACACTAGCCTTTTATCTCCAGCACAAAGCTAAAGATGGAAACTGACACAAAAAAATGCCCTAGCTGATCAACTACATAAAGGAAAATTATATATATAAAATGTTTATATAAAAATAAATTTTATATTTTTTGGTCACACTATTCTGTTAATGTATGAAAATATAATTCAAGCCCCTGTCTCTTAACTCTGAATGAAACATCAAGTCAAACATTTCCTTGTCAGCACCTCTGCCACCACACTCCCAATACTTACCCCCTGTTTTTCTAGGTTCAGGCTCCTCCCCTGTGGGTTGGTACAGTCTGGGGGCAGGGCCTTGGCTCCGGGTGGGTAAATGGGGCTGCCCATTTTAGAGGACGGCTGTCTGTGGAGCAGCGAGTGGTTGCAAGGGTAGGAAAAAGAGCGAGAGGGCGGCTGGCTGGGCACGCGAGGCCTCCAGCCAGTCCTGAGTTGCTGCTGGCTATGGCCCGGTGTGGTGGGGGGGTGGTATGGAGGTGGAGGTGGGGGTAGGGGTGGGTGGAAACCCACCAGAGCCTGCAGGTCTGTGAACATGCTCTCCACCGCTGGTGTGCTGTTGACACGACAGCGACCTGACTGGCGCCCAGCCAGGATAGGGCTCTCATCTCCAAAACGCTCCTCAGGGAAGAATTTGTGCGGGTTCTGAAAAAGAGTGTACAGAAAACAACTATTACTTATTGGATACATTTGTGCTCAAGCCATATTAAAACAAACACGGTTTAGACTGTCTGTGTTCGAACACTTCACGAAGAGGAAATGTCCTTTCCAAATTTCATTTAATTTGATTCAGGCCTGGGCGTGCAGGTCACTCAACACTAAGCACATGAAAAATGATGGAAACTCGAACCACAGCTTTGCACTTGAAAACACTCACAGCAGAGTAACAATAACATGAGAATTGAGCTAGTGAATGAAATGCTAAAGGGAAGAATGATAAAAGGAACATATAATGCAGAACCTGCAGTGAACAATTCAAGAGGCCAAGTGAAAAACTGGGCCCTATTAATAAAACATGAATGGAGTAAAATGTTCTGAAAGGTTTTTGCTTAGCAACTTACTGCATGCACAGATGCGAACAATATGTACATTATTACACAACTGCTCTACATTGCACTCTATGTTGAGTAATGCCACAATTTAAAGCATTTTCAGTGATGCTCCACATGATGTAGCAACTGGCAAGAAAACCACAACTGTGTCTGTCGTATTCGTGCCCTTCACGAATTTTCTTTAATAGCAATAATAACATAGCATACATTTAAATACATCATAGTGAATTTCAATCCCAGCATCCAAATAACCTACTGATTTTTCACCTGGGACTCAGTGGGAAGCACAGACTGTTTCCTGAGAACAAGGGTGTGAGATTTGTTACCTGGAGCAGTTCTGCAGCTCCATCAGGCAGGCCAAACTCCCTGAGCACGCGGATCTGCAGCTCGTAGCTGACTGTAGCGCCCTCACCGCAGTTCAGTGCGTACGCTCGCTGCACCTGATCTGTGTGCCGCAACTCCTGCAACCGACGAATCATTTCCTTCACCACTGCCAGCCTCGGAACTGATGGAGAGAAAGAAAGAAAGAAAGAAAGAAAGAAAGAAAAACAGACAGAAAGAAAGGATAGAAGAAGGAAATGAGAACAAAGAAAAGAGAGAGAGAGAGAGAGAGAGAGAGAGAGAGAGAGAAAAAAAAAGAAAGACAGAGCGAGATACAGTACTTTAATTGGCGTATTAACTTTCAGCTCTTCTGTTTAAACCGCTCCTTCTGTTTAAACCGCATAATGATGTCTGAAAATAAAACCAAAGTTCTAGACACAATGCAGCACAATGTGTATTTAGGGGAACAGCGGAGAAAGGAGAATTCGACCATGGCATAGAATGGACTTTCACAGACTTTCAGGGATTTGCAAGTTGCTTGAGATAACAACCAAATGTTGTTAATGACTTTACAAAAATGCACTGTTGGGTAAATGAAAAACAGACAGTGTATTAATGACTACCAAACAGTCAAAGTATTTTAGTTTCTTGCTGAAAGAGTGTGTTTTAGTTTGATGCTGAAATGAAGATTCACCACCTACAACCACCGCAAAGCTTGCCAGCTACCAAGGCCATTGTTTTCACCCACATGCCAAGCCCACAAAACATCTATAAAAAGCCTTGAACTATATCTTGCAAATCCTTTCACAGCAAATATCCTGTTTAATATGAAAATATCACCTGAAACACTGACTGAGGTCTTGGACAGCCTCAAAGGTAAATCCACAGCTATCAGTCTAACTCCTGCATAAAACTTAGCAAGCCTCACTTTCCTGTCAAATATGTACACCTTATTTCTTTCATGTGTCTGACTATGAAGTGCTCTCAACAGTGCATTGGCCAAGTGGAAACAGCAGGAGGTTCTGGCCATCTGGAAACCCCTAATTAACTCTCTGGACCTCTGAAAGTGGAAATCTGAAAGCCTCAACATTAGAATTTTACTGGGCGGCCCTAAAAATAAAAAGTTATGGTGTTACAATGTCCATTAAACAATGTCCTAAAAACAGGCAACATGAACGAGTGACAATGACAAAACCAAAATGTTACCATTATAATCAAAGAAGCTCTCTACACCAGTTGCGAGTGGCAGAACATGATCTTCAAAATGGAAGAGGAGAAATTTACCCATGAAGTGGAGAAAAGGGCGGATCCCTACAACCTTCAGGTAAACAATTTGTCAAAAAAGTAGCTATTTTCTGATGGGTCCATTATTTGTTTACATTTTGATCAGGCTACAACTTGGGCAAGAATCCTAACACTACATTCACCTACATCTGTAACACAATGTAACACACACACACACACACACACACACACACACACACACACACACAAAAAAATGCTCTGTACAAGAGCACCTGCCAAACGTAAATGCAAATCATTTTTAGGTAGGTTTCTTTCCGCAGTTCAAAATATATCTAGCGGCAACGACATAACACTATCTACTGATAATGACGCAAATTAACTGAACTCAGCAGTGGTATAAAATAAGGGTTCCCAATCCCCGTCCTGGTAACTCTTTGCTATTTACATTTTTGTGGTTCCTCTACACTACACACCTGACAGCCAACAAGGTACTTATTAATTAGTATTAATTAGTATTAATGTATTGACTCATGTGCTTGATAAAATAAAGCACAAGAATGTGCGTAGAGTTGGGTTGTTAGGACAGGACTGGGATTGGGAACCCCTGGTGTAAGGCATGCAGTCTATCAAGCAGTACTTAAACACTCGTATCACTATACTTACATACTGGGGATGATTCATCAAACTTGTCGTGTCTACGTGGCATACCAGCCTTTTATTGCAAATCATGCATTATTTAAAGTGGCCATATTTGACTTCCTCACATCTGTAATTTTAGCTTTGGTGGTCACGTGGAAAGCAGTGCAGTTTGTCACATTCTGTGGCGATGTGATATGGATATCCAGCATTAACTTGGTCAACTAACCAGCTATAATTTATTTTTAACATTTTCCATATATTATCAGCTACAATTTATGTGGCTTAAACAAGACAAAGCTTCTGAATACTAAAAAAAGAAACAAACATCTAAGTAACGAACAAATTAGTCACATCCAATTATTTGGAAAAGTCAATCAATTATAATAATAAAAAAAATGCAAACAAGGATATTTAGATAAAGCACTGTTACAGTGCGTGAGTTGCCACACACACCCTCCCTGAGGAGTAAAGGGGATCACTCATCACTGGAATAATTAAAAGCAAGCTCCACCCACCTGGTATTTCATTGGCCACAACTGAGGGCGGGGCTGTTTGGCTGCCAGCCAGCTGCTGGTGGTTGATCATGTGACAGCACTGGGGTACTGCATTATTGACCATGTAGAGCGTGTCAGGCACGTTGGACATGCGCACCATGCGCAACCTCACCAGATCAGTCTGCTCCACCATCATCTCATCTAAAACCGCCTAATATACACAAACACACAGACACAAAAACTTTCAGACGAGAGCTGATTTACAAATGGCTTCAAATTCCTCTTCTAAGTGGAAAAGTTGGTAGGTGGGTTTACAAACAAATCCACAGTTTGCTTAGCTTAACCGGTTTCTAACTACACTGCGTGGTTTCTTTCTGTGGGTGAGGATATGTTTGCTATAATGTATAATTGAGTGTACATGGGGGTGGATAGGCAGGAAAGGCTACCTTGGCCTCCTCCACGTAGGGGGAAAAGAGACGAGGGCGAACGTAGATTCCAGCACTCTTCTGCCTGAGCCAGGCATTGGCCTTGCCACCCTCAGCTGTGGGCAGCATGTCTGAAGGAGGCGTGCTGATCAGACCACGCTTCAGCTTTCAGGAGATAGAGCAGGAGAAGACAAGGTTAGCCCTTCACCAGATTAAAGAGAGGAATCTTTCATCCTGTTTTCTCTCAAAGAAAAGTTGTCAAAAGTTTTTTTTTTTTTTAAACTGTTACTTATGTCACCTTTATCCCACCTAAAACCATTTTATCAATTTCAGTGTGTAGAACCGGTGTGCTACCGTGTTCTATCACTATATACAACACGCATGAGGCTTTTTTACAAACTGCTTTTTGCTAACACTATATTTTGCACAACATCTTTCAACCTCATGTTCCTCAAAAGTGTGTTCCTTGGTATGAAGAGCAGGGGCTGTATTGCAGAAACTTTCCATGCTTAGTCCTAAGTTAAGATCAGACAGACTCACGGTAAAAATTAATTAATTAATTAATTAATTAATTCACATTACAGAAGCAAATTAAATCTTAATTTAGGAATGATCTTATATTACAGTATCTTTTCTCAAGATAGAACACTTACGCACCTTTTCTCAAGATAGAACACTTACGCACAGCTGTATTTTTTATTATTTTGATTACACAAGTTAGCTAACTAGACAGCTACTTTTGTAAAAAAAAGTCAAAACAAAACAAAGTGCGATGAAGAAGTTGGAAAAAGTTTAAGCCAGCATAGAAGCCATGCTAATGCTCCAAACACACTGCCATGTGTTTAACTGTCTCCTCATTATTCACAAACATTGTTGCAATATTGTATTGTCATTTTCATTAACATTAACACACACAGGTAATGAGTCTGTAAGAATAAATGTAACATCATGCTATTTACAGCGAGTTACACTGCTTGCCACAGTCGCCTGAAACAATAACGTTGCATTTTAGTAGAATAGCTAACAGTAGAAACATAAGGTTGAAACACAATCTGGGGTTGTCCTAAAGATAGGACACTATTTAGGAAATTTGTTTAATTTTGTAATATTCTTATCTGGAGGAAGGATAAGACTTCCTAAGTGAATTGTCATGGAGACTAAAACGATAAGATTTGAGAGTCACAATGTTTATGTTATACAACCCCTGGTCTTGCTTAAATAATGCTTTTTCACTTTTCTTCTCCAAACTATGGTTAAAAGGACATACGGAAACATCTCTGGCCCAGAGGTGATTTACACACCTTCGGTGCTTAAATAGAACAATGGGATAACATGCCAAACACTATTCAAAAGGTAGCATTCTGTCAGTTGTTTCTTTAGTTGTACAGTTCTTGCCCAGAGAAATGACAGTACCTAAACATTATTTTTTATTTAGGGCAATATTGGAAACAGTCAAATAAAACATGATCATTTGTATAAAAAGCACTGCAAAAAGCTAGGGGTCTCCAAACACTTGAAAGGTTCCGTAAGTCGCTCACAGTGTCTGAGAGAACCTCGCTGTTGATGGGCAGAATGTGCTCAGTGCGGACACAGGGCAGAAGAGGAGACAGAATCTCCCTCAGTTCCTCCAGGTCCAGATCTCTCCTCTTCACTCCGCGCTTATTCACGCTATGTGCTGTGCCACTCAGCAAGTTGGGCTCTGAAATACATGTGCATATACAGGCACACACTCAGATTAGAATGAATGTGAACAGTTCACAGAAACAAAAGTGCCTTCCAGCTCTCAACTTTCTAAACTAACAGCACAGACTGGAGAATGAGGGTGGAGAGTGAAGGGTTCCAGAGGATTACTGGTATCAATATCCTGCTCTATCTGCCGCTTTTGTGCCCTTGAGCAAGGCACTTCAGTTCCAACTGCTTCAGGAGGGCTGCTCTCTGAAACCAATCTCTGAAGCTCCATCAATTTATATGCCTGCAGGTCTATCTGCAGTAGAGGTCATCTATGCATTTTATATAATTTTTTGGTAAAGCAACCCGATACAGATGAAAAGGAGTTCTTTGTTCTCTTGTCTGGTTTATTCATCTAAGCTTTTAAGTATTTATTCAGGACTCCTGTATGACTTACACATCAAACAATGATTTTATGAGCAAATACAACAGCTCTCAGAGTACCATACGATTTCTTTTCACCGATACACTATATGTCCAAAAACATCCAGATACTGGTTCTAATTAGTGAACTCAATACTTTGATGTGCACCTGTTGCTGAACCAGGCATTCAACTGCACACACAGCTTAGTCTGTGTACAATGTCCATAGAAAACCATTACAAACAGAATGGAATGCTCAAATCATGCAAATGCCACCTGCATCCTAACTGGGTAAATGTTGGATTAGCTGGATTAATCTGCATAAAGTTCAGCTCCATTTACTTTTTTTGATGCAATCTCTGAAATCCGGTCAAGTGAGACCAATTTTGTACTGTGCAGTCATGTCTGATGGAGCCGATGTTTCCGGTTGAAAATAAATGGGATCCATTATGTAGGTGTAATGTAAATGCAGCATAAGGTCATCATGCTCAATACCAAGCGTCAGCCAGAGGTGTATAAAGCCCCCTAGTATTGGGCTGTGGAGCAATGTAGCCATGTTTTCTGCAGTGAAGCTTCATCCAGTACGTTTAGAATGAGTTGGAGTGGCATTTGTGATCTAGAATTAATCATTTAACATTAGCACCTGAACTCACGTATGCTCTCTTGGCTGAATGCAATCAAATATTTACTACAATGTTCCAACATCTTGTTTAAGCCTTGCCAGAAGAGTAGAGGCTGTTACTGCAGCAAAGAGGGACAAATTCCTTACTAATACCCTTGATTTCAAAAAGTTGAGATGAGCAGGTGTCTACAAACTTTTGAACATATAGAGTAAATATCCTAGCTTTTCTATGGTTATTGGCATCTTACTACGCAGCAGTGTGGGCCCATTTCTAAGCATGTAGGGAGCTATGACGATGATGATGACGATGATTATTATTATTAATATCATCATCATTATTATTATTATCAGTAGTAGTAGTAGAAGTAGTACTGACAGAAGTAGTAATGATATTACTTTTTATTATTACTTAATCAAACCTCTATTGGCCAATCATACTTTCTTTTTCCTCACAAGTGCAGAACATTTTCCTCTATGTACAAGGTCTCTATGTTTGAAAATATTAGATAATATAATATATACTATTATACACTTTATGAAGATCACATAGGCAAGACTCTTAATGCTACTTTCCGGTCTCCAGTTGCTCTGGATTAGAGTGTCTATTAATGCTATAGAAGGTTACAATTATGTCTGATTACAATTATGTCTAATTATATCTACATAAAAATAAATCAGGGATCAGGATCAGGGAACCTGCTTTATACTCAACACACTTCATATATGAATTATAGGGTTAACTTAAAGAGCCTATATCATGAAAACCTTTTCCTTGCTTTTAATTTGATTAAACACTTTTGATCTAGAATATAAGAAGTTTCAAATGGCTACATTCACTCCTCAATCTAGTCGATTCATACATGGAAACTAAGAAAAACACAGGCATATCCTTAAAACCAAGTGGTCACAATAAAAACTCTGCTCCTACCCCGATCAGCCATCCTCTTGATGAGCTGGTTTTCTCCCCACTTCACTACATACTTGAGGATGTCCTGCTCGCTGGCCTGTGGGAGGCAGAGAAGAGCAGACAGATTTGGTTCACACTTTGGCTCTGTCTGTACTGCTGACGCCGACCAGTGCCAGCTACACCTTGTCCAGCACACGGAATGCAGCATTTCATCTGCTTTGTACTTCACAACTCAAAATAGGTCATTCAAGCTACTGCAACTGCTAAAAGCCTTTTCAACATTTTGCTGTTGGACAAAGGTGATCTTTCATTTCATTCAAAATGAACTTAGCCGTTGAGAAAATTGATAACTTCAGCAAGGAGTTTCTTGCCTATTTTCTCTCTATTCTATTCAGCTACAAGTGTTGAAATGATTTCCTCCTTTACAGCATTAAGACATTGTGGCAAACAATCACCAAACTGTCCACTGCCATGGCAAGCAGACCCGTAAAACTGTCCACTCATGTTTATGTTTTCTCTCAGACACCAGACGGACTAGATGACTACATCAGTGTCAGAGTTAAGGGCTCTACTCCTTCTGCTGGAGAACATACTGCCCAGCAAAGCTGACTGAGAAGAGTTAAGAGGCCATCTGATACAGCTGACTCATATGTGCCTGCAAAGAAAAAAAAACCTGCAGACTCTGAGGGCAAGAGTCCCTATTCAGCAGAGGCAGGAAAACAACCTGACACTGACACACTGCTGCCCCGAACAGAAGGAGCTGCAGAGGCAGAGGAAAAGGTTTGTAGATGGAATGAGGTCAAGGTTAAAACAGCAAGAGAGACTAGCGCATATTATGCTGAATCACGCTCTCATGCTTCTGACAGAAAGGCTGGAATTTATTTTTGAAGGCAGAAATGAAATAGAAAAAGATGCTGTCAGAGATTTGTGTCAATACGCTGCGAAATTCAATATAGCATGCGAGAAATATCTATAACGATATTTTCTTGGACCTGAAGGAAAGAGATGTTGCGATAAATCTTCACTAAAGGGAGTCATAATCATTCATATACTACAACAAGATGCAGCATCTGAGTAACATTTTGTCTTTCATGACTAATTTGTTAACACATAATACATTACTGGTGTGCATAACCTCATGTGTACAACAGTACTCACCTGTAGATAATCAGACTGGATGGCACTGAGCAGGTGCTCTTTGCTCAGGTCGTAGAGGACATCCGATGTCATGACCTGGCTGAACTCCTCGCACAAGAAGTGCATTGCCTGCCGATGGACCCACTTCGAGCCATAGGGCTGTGAGCTCCACTTAAGGATGGCCACCACAGAGTCCAGCGAGATGCTCTCCACCACAATGTCCTCACAGCCTGCAGGGACGTCACATAAGCATGTTAAACGTTGTTTCACTCTACAGTGCTAAATGCTGTTGTGCAGCTGTGTTGAAAACCAAGTTTTAATACTACGATTACAAATAATAATAACAGAAGAAGAACAAGAACAACAACTTTATGTAAATTAAAAGCTACACAAAAAGCAAAAAAATAAATAGGAGTAATAGACAAAAACAACAAGAGAGTAAAACTTTGATTTAAAAGTTAAAAAAAAAGAATCAGTGAGAAATTGAAAAGACAACAGGAGAAAAAAAAAGAGAAAATATTCTATAAATTAAAAGTATAAAAATCTTAAACTAAACCAAAGTAAACTACACAATAAAAACAGATTTATACAACACAATGTCAACAGACTTCGAGACCTAATGGTGTGTTGATTCTTGTCGACCGCTGAGAGTCACTGTATCTTACTGAGTCACTGACTGAATGAGTGACTGATCTGCCCCGACTTGTTGAATTGCGTATGCACAATTGACACTGAGACGAACAGTAGGTGGTGCTACACACTTAATTAAATGAAGCCATGTCATCCCATTACTCATCCTCTATTCATCTACAGCTAATACAAAAATACCAATAGAGCAGAAACACTACAACACTGGGTCTTACAAAAATAACAAAATCTCTAACAGGTGCAGTAACGCAAAGGTGAGGTAAGCTCAGGCTGTCCGTCACTTGAACATTCTTATTTTGCAATATAAGCAGCACTATTGAGCAATTTTTCATTCTTTCAGGCGAGGATAAAACACCAGTATAAATCCACTAATTGCACTAGAATGTAAATTAGAGTAATACTTGGGTTGATTTTTAGAATCATCACATAGCAAACGCAAACTATATCTGTCAACATGGTTTCAAATGTTTAAAATGTAAAATGCATAATGATCGACAGCAGCGTCTCTCTGGCAATGTAAACAAACAATCTCGCGCCAGTGGCAGTGGAACGAGAGCCCGCCCCGCAGGAAAACAGATCACTTCACTCTTCTCGACAGCTCTCTGAAAAAAGTGAAAAATGGAGAACAACCTGTCTAATGGTCATTTGAGAGATCTAATTACAATTTGCAGCTAATGTTCAAGAACGCTTTTATCTTATGATGGCTAAGTCAAAAAATACACAAATAAATAATACAGCAAACACTTGAATGACAAGTGCCTTGCAGCTGATGGTGCAAAACTATACTTTTTTTTTTATAATTCTTCACTATTTGAAACACCACATCAGCCTAGTTAACAAGACAGCACTAACGATTGTCCTCTAAGACAGCCTTCAGAGTTTAGTCAGTTTAGATAGTTTGCGATCTCTAGCTGCCAAAGCTCTGAGGAGCTTTCCTGCTACAGCCAATGGAGGCGATGTGTCAGCTTTTCATAGAAAAACAGGTCCTATTGCACTGGGAATAAAAGTCTCTCTCTCTCTCTCATACACAAACATACACTCCAGTCTCACACACGTTCATGGTGTGCAACTCTTAAGCACAAGGCCTCATTTAAGAGGCTGAAATAACAAACAGCAACAGCATAAATAAATCAGTCAAAAGACTTTCTGGCTCCCTGTCTCAAGGAGGAACTCTAAGTAGGAGATGGCTGCTGCCAAAAAAGAGCTAAAGCAGAGCGCTGACGGCTGGGAACTAATGAAAATGTCACTTCAGTGATGGGGTGCAAGAGCACCTGAGGACGGCTGGCTCCTTTCTTATGGGGAGAGGAAGCTGAAGAGTATGACTGCTGCTGCTTTTACCATGCGCCAGCATAGACACACTACCAGCAGGAGCTCAGAGCAAAATATTAGAACCTTTTGAAATTGTAAACAGACTGAGGTCATGTTTTCATACTTAAATAAGCACACATAGGACAGGCAGAGTAAGCATAAACAAATCCTTAGCCAAGGGCATTCGGATGCCCAGCTCAGTAGAAGACTTGATCTCTCCAGGGCGAAGTCGGAGCTGATATCATCAGCATGTCAGTGGCACTTAGTGGATTCTCCTAACACTCATTTCCTTCTCTTATCTGTCTATCACTTTTGGCATCGCTCATAAACAAAGTCACTAGTGCAGTGAAACCTAAAAAGAGACCTTCAGTGTTACTGCTGTAGAAAAGACGCAATGGATATCAAAAATCAGACAGAAACTAAAAGGTGGCTAAAATGGCAAACAATGTAATACCCTAATTGCTTTTCTAAGTATACATGTGGTATGTACCACAATGCTTCATTTTCAGAATATAACAAAATGCCCCAGCAAAACAGAACCCCACATTTACAACGAGTACAATCAGTGTCAGCAATAAACTATTTAACAAAGAATCAAATAAAATATATTGGGATAATGCAGTGATACACTGAAACTAAAATTCCTGGCTGATACCAAAACCAAAATTTAGGGCACATTGGGACAAGAACTAAAACTAAAAACTCAAAAGATTGCTGACAAATTAAAATATTTGAAAAAATAAACATACTAAAATTATTACAGGTTGTAGGCTTCAACAGCAAACTAAAGCTAAAGGTGGCGTCGGCACGCTAGCCGTGACTTCTCTTTTTGCTTCTGTCAAGTTGTGTTTTCAAATAGTGAATCAAACCTGCAGTGGAGAAGTTCTTGGGTGATGAACCTCCTCTTGATACGTGGCATAAACAGCGATTACATATCACTTATGTAATGTCTCATGAAATAGATCCACACAGTTGACATTTTCACTGTTGACCTGCTGCTGCTCTTTTTGAATACGTCTGAGCTGCCCAGTACAGGGAAATAAAGGAAACGTTTTCATTCAATTTAAAATTATTTGTTGAAGTCTGTCTGAGGTCTATTTAATCTTTTTTTCAGTCAAAAGTTTTGGCCTTTTTATGTCTTTCAGCCAAAAAAAATCTCAAGAGCATTTTTTACACTCCTCTGAGTGTGAAGCCAGCCACTACATGTTTTCAAACTCCTGCTAATGCAACGACACTGGACGGCTCAACACGCTTGGAGGAGAGCACTAACTGTAAGCTGTTATGTTAGGTAACAGATGCCCATGTTGGCTAGCACTGGGCCGAGCCATAGGTGGAGAGGGAGGGCCATCCTACCCATCCAGACAGAGTGATGCCTCTCCTGGACTTTCAGTAACAGATGGCTGTGGCATCACCATTTTTGGTAGCAAAAATGTTGGTGCATACCTAGCATAAGGGCCTGACACCCAGTCAGCTACTTGTTATATGCAGAGTATCTAGTTATGTAGTACGATGCATTTGTTATTGTTTTCAGGTTCTCTGTAGATCATCTAAATCTGTCTTTATAATATATGTAGCTGATCAGTGTTCCAGAAGTACTTACTCACTAGGGCTGTCAAAATAAAATTCAAAATTCATGTATCTGTCAAACTCACTGAAGAAAAAAAAAATCTAAACGTAGAAAATGTCCATTAGAATTATGAAAGCCTCTGCTGTGGCTGTGGCTCCTGGTAGATTGCAGGCCAGGAATTAGTAACATGCACAGAAGAACATGCCATTGAATGGTCTGCACTGCTCTAAGCCAGTGCTCCAAACATGGATGCTTTGTTGTGCAAGCTAATAATCCTGTAGATACACGGTTTCACTCAGGCATTCACTCACTGTTTAAGCTTGTAATGACAGGGTATCGCTAGTCTGGGGGGATTTCATGGAAGTCATTATCAAAAATTTTTTCAAAAATAGCCCCATGCCCCCTTTATCAACAACCATTTTGTGAGTCCAGGCTGAGAACAACTGGCTTATAACACTGCAGGATTTTAGGGATGCTTGATACGTATTGAGAATCTATTTATGGATCTAGGAAGATACCTTGTCTTAAAAAAAAAATGCCGTTTACTGCAGTTGTTGCTGATGCTGGTTTTGTCATTTACAGACTCAAAGTATGTACTGAGAGATTAAATATATTCAACTAACAAAACATGAGGAAAACTCCAATTAAATCTGAGTCCAGCTGACAGCCCTAACAGACATGATAAATTCAAAAAAGTATACTGTGCCATAATTTAACACATCGCTATAATCACCCACCCCTAAAATAAACAGAAGAAAATTTGCCCTTTCAGAAACAGTCTGAAATCTAGGCCATTATCATGGAAACGAAGTAAAACTACAAAGCTATGTGTTACCCAACAAAGCATAAGCTCAGTGTGTACAATTCCTCTGAGGGGTGATCATGATTGAAGAAAAAGCCAGAAAACAACATGGGAAGTGTTCTCTGCTACTTCCTGATCATTAGTCTGATGTCACACAGCAGATTTTCCTCTGTGGTCAGGAGACACAGTTCTCATTAGTGGGTTGAGTCGATGCCTGAGAGACTTCACTTTAGATTTTGTCACCAAGTTGCGGCTAGCTAGAGCGGCCTGATGAACGAACACGTGAGCGGCCAGCAGATGAGCCTCTGCTCAGCTACATAAGTATGGCTGAACTGAGAACAGGACAAAAATAACTGCATTCTACTACATGCCTTGGGAAAAACAAGGGATACAAACAATAAAATCACATTAAAATGCATGAAGGAGGAAGAAAATTTGCTGAAGGTTCTCAGAATTAAGCATTCAAAGCAACATTTGCAAATCTGAAAAAAAAGAAAAAAGATCTGATACAGGCTTTTGTTTTGTGTCAATAACTTGGTCTAGCGAGGGGAAGTGAAGTCACCACTCAAGGTCACGTAAAACAGCAAATGGAAGTGCAGAGCTCATTTTACAGCTGAAGCAGAATTAAGGCTCTGTTGTATGGTGAGCAAGAAAGTGAGAAGAAATATGAGAAATATGAAAAAGAGAGAGTGTGTGAGAGAGAGATAAATGCACATATGCTGGAGGGATGTTTAGTGGCACAAAGATAAAAAAAGACCAAGAGAAAGACAAGCAGAGTGCAATAAGATGCCTGTACTGTGTTTTTTGGGTGTATGCGGGAGAAAGACACAATGACAGAATAAAGAAAAATGATGAGGAAGAAAAACTAATTTCTTCCACAGTTTCATGCAGACTTTATTTTGGTG